ACTTTCAGCCCAGGAAGCCCAAATAATTCAGAAAATTACTAATATTTGGCAAAATAATTCAGCAAGAAGGTGTCCAAAATGCTGGGAAGAACTGAATTGTGATCCGTTACCATCCTCCCGGTGGGAAAGAATAAAACAAAAGTACCACGATTTTAAGTCTGAATTACAAAATTAGAGGAAGAAAAGAAATGCAGCTGCTGGTACAGATTCAAATTTCAGTTAAGCATTTTAGTACAGTATTATATAATTTTTGTCAAAAACAAGATTTCTCAGCCACTGAGAAAGAAAATCAAAGACCATGAGAAGAGGCCAAGAAAGGCAGTAAGAAGCCTGAGCAAGGACACTGAGGAGGCTGCGCACAGGGAGGTTGGAGCGGAACGGCCTTGGGCTCCGACCTGCACAGTAGGATCTCACCCCCGGAGAGACCCCAGCCCTGGCCCTCCTCCTCACTCTGACACAGGAGGAGTCACACCTCCAGTGAATTCTGCCTCACAGTGGCCACTGCCCTCCTAAGTGCAAGGCTGGGCTTGAGAATTTCAGGAGAGAAACTCAGTGGTGAGTGCTTCTCCCCAGCTGCAGCAGCTGGTACTTAGTGGCTCTTAATTTCCCAGCTTTCTGTGCTACTTCCCAAAGGCACACAGGAAGTAGACTGGACATCTGTGCCAGAGGTGACTAGCTTCAGGAGTGCTGATGGTGGCAAGGCCTCTCTGCACATGCTTTGGCCAGGTCCCCCCTCACCTCATCAGCAGCCAAGGGAATATCCCTCAGTGTGGCTGGTCCTTAGGAGTCACACCCATTGGCCAGAGGTCCTGAGCACCAAGCCCTCGAGCAATAAGCTCCCAACTGGAGAGGCTGTGGCTAGTAAGCAGCAGGGTTCCATCTGGAACCCAGGTCTCTGACTACAATAACTAACCTAGAGCTCTTTTCTCACATTTCTTCAGCAGTGGTCTAGCAGAGGGAGCCAGCCACTTCAGCAAAGAAAGTGTGATGAAGTCCATGAACCCAGAGAATAAAGCCCTTTGGCCTGTCAGGGGCAGATTCTTAAGGGCACAGAAGGGGAAAAACAACAAAAGCAAGTTTATACTCATAGGAAAACATAATCTGTGATTATAAATATTTTATGGGCAAAGAAAGCAGCACTGGCTGAGAGACTGGGGTGGAGAGGGTGGACAGCAAATTAGATCCCAGCCTGCAAAGTGATAGGGCAGCTGGAAAAGCAGCAAAGCCGAGGCTATTCTGGGCTGTGCTGCAAGGGCCTGCGTCACAGGCCCTGGCCACAGACTTTGTTGAAACCACAGCCTTCCAGTGGTCAGCACAGAACACCTTGGGAAGAAGGTTTAAGTCCATGAAGACCAGAGGAGGGGACAGCGAGGACAGAGGAGAGTCATCTGAATGACTCTGGCAAACCTCAACAGCAGCGAGGCGGGTGAGGGGAGGCAGCACCCTGCAAGCACGTGAAAGGAAGATACTTCCTGCTGACTAAGGGCAGAGGAAGAAGTGAGGCTGACCCCAGAGAGCAAGCAACCTGAGAAGCCAGAGGGCAGCTTGGGTCAAGCTGCCCCAGTGAGAGCAAAGGTCCAGCCCTTGAGCAAGTGGTGCCAGGCTGAGAACAATTCCACCTTCCCTTTGCCTCAGGCCAGGGCTCTCTACCTCCCACAGCCTTTAGGAAGTAGCACAGAAAGCAGGGACATTAAGAACCTGCTGAGCACCAGCTGCTGCCGCTGGAGAGAAACACTCACCACTGGCAAAGCAGGCCCTGGTTTCAATGATTCCTTCTCCTTGACCACATCCAACCACTGCAGCAGAGCATGTCAGCCCTTCTAGAGGGCCAGAAGGAGAGGATATTAGCTCCTAAAATACCCAGAGTACCTTGAATCAGGCTTAGTCAGAGGAGCCCTGGGGAGCGATGTGCTCCTCCAATGGAAGGTGTTAAACTAAGAGCCTCTGCCTCATTGCAGTCAAGGCTCAGTGGGCAACGGGCTCCAAGTGTGTGCCCACAGAACTCAGGAAAATCAGAACATCAGCCTCTAGGTTCACAGCTAGTAAGAATCGGGTCAAGATGGAGTAGACTCATCAACTACGAAAGGAAGACCCAATGATGTTGTGGGAGGACCCTCGGTTAGAAGTCACAGGATCCAGCTCTGAGACCAGCTTTACCACTTACCAGCTGTAGAACCTTGAGAAATCACCTCTTACCTCTGAAACTCAGTGTCCTCAGTGTTATTCCAATTTAAGAGACTTATATCCAGCTACCTACTCGACATCTCTTCAATGTCTCAAAGGCACCTCCATTCAGCTTGCCCACAACTGCTCTTCCTCCCTAATCCTCCAGCCTAGCTCCATGTTCAACACAACCAACCATCCAGGTATAGAAGCCAGAAACCTCAGACCCATCCCTGGCCTTTCCCCATTACTATTCCCCATTACTAACCCATTACCAAGTCAACTCCACCTCCTAAAAATGCCCACTGCCCTCCACCACCACCCCGGTCCATATTATCACCTCGCGTATAGTCTATTGCAAAGCACACACTCATCATCCCTTCTGGCCTCCCCGAGGATCTCTCTGCAGAGCAAATCTCCCCTCCCACCAGCCTTATTCCACTTGCTAAATTACTCTCCAACAGCATCCCAATGCCCTCAGCATGAGGAAAATCTTCCGAGGGCTCATAAGGCCCCACTCCTCTTTTGGCTTCTACCCACATCATGATCCCTCTTGTGGCTCCAGCCACAATGGCTTTTTCTTCTGGACCTGGCATTTATCCCATTCCCTCCTGTCACAGGGTTTGTGCACATGCCCTTCCCTCTACCAGCAACGTTTCCTCCTCTTCTCTCACCTAGCTAATGCCTATTCATTTATTTCACTATGAGTGAAGTGCACTAAAGTATACAGCTCAGTAATTATTTACAGATGTCTATCCTCATGGAACTCCCACACAGATCTAGATTTAGAACATTCCTGAGACCCAGAAGGTTCCCTCTTTCCCCTTTCCAGTCTACACCTTCCCTACCCCCCAGGTAACCACTACTGACTTCTATCACTGTACATATTCAGACTGCAGCTGATGCAATCCTTCCTCAGGGAAGCTGCCTCTGATCCCACTGAAAAACTCTAGCTCCTTTATCACTGACCCTTGCTACTCTTGGGACTTTGCACTTGTTTGAGGAATTGATTCATGTTGATTTCCCCTGGGACTCTATAAGCTCCAGGAAAGCAGGGGCCACACCTGCTTTTACTCACCTTTGTTTTCTCAGTGCTGACCCATGCAGTCGTGACAATAGGAAATAGCTAATTCCTATTTCTAAAAGTACCTATTGAGTGTTTTTGTTTTTTCTTTCATGTTTTTTTAGCAACATGGTCTTGCCATGTTGCTAAGGCTGGATTCAACTCTTGAGCTCAAGTGCTCCTCCTACCTCAGCTTCCTGAGGAGCTGAGACTACAAGCATGGGCCATGATGCCCAGCCTGAGTGCTTATTATTGCCAGGATATTGTTCTAAGCACTTACAAGTACAAACTCATTTAATCTTCACAACAGTTCTATCAAGTAGTTACCATTATTACATCACCTTTTACAGATAAGGAAACTGAGCCACAGAAAAGTAAAATAATTTGCCCATAGTCATTAAGTGGTAGAGTCAGGCTTCAAACCCATACAGTCTGGCTACAAGAGCCTGTGTTCCTAATTATTATCCTACTCTGACTCTCAGAAGCCACTGAGATTAGTTACTCATTTAATGAGTTAACTACCTAAGGTATTCTAAATGAATTAAAAAAAAAAAAAGGGCTGGGCACAGTGGCTCACACTTGTAATCCCAGCACTTTGGGAAGCCCAGGTGGGCAGATCACAAGGTCAGGAGTTCGAGAACAGCCTGACCAACATGGTGAAACCCCGTCTCTACTAAAAATACAAAAATCAGCTGGGTGTGGTGGTGCATGCCTGTAATCCCAGCTATTTATGAGGCTGAGGCAGGAGAATCGCTTAAATCTGGGAGGTGGAGGTTGCAGTGAGCCAAGATCATACCACTGCACTCCAGCCTGGGTGACAGAGCGAGATTCCATCTCAAAAAAGAAAAAAAAAAAAAAGAATTTATAAATAAGTTGATGAGGTTCCACTAAAGAAACTAAGGGAGCCTCTAAATCTCCCCAAGCAGACCAACAGATGAAGGAAAGATAACTCACTGAATCACCTGCACAGGCCCAAGATTTTGTCATCTGCAAAATGTAAGAATGTATCCATTTCTCCAGCAGTCCAGGGAGGAAGCTCTGCTACTGGGCACAGAGACATGTTCTGGCAGACTATCCAGAACAAAGAAAGAATTACTGTCTGGGCTTTACTACAGCCTAAAGGGAATGTTCACTAGATTAAATCAGCCTCTCTGCTCTTATTCCATGCTAACCTGGTCATCTTTATAACCATTTAAAGCCTCAAGCCCACTAATATAGGAAGAGGATATTTGGGATGAGAAAAACAAAAACAAGTATCTTTTGGTTAGAAAGTGGCAGACTCGGCCGGGCGCGGTGGCTCAAGCCTGTAATCCCAGCACTTTGGGAGGCCGAGACGGGCGGATCACGAGGTCAGGAGATCGAGACCATCCTGGCTAACACGGTGAAACCCCGTCTCTACTAAAAAATACAAAAAACTAGCCGGGCGAAGTGGCGGGTGCCTGTAGTCCCAGCTACTCGGGAGGCTGAGGCAGGAGAATGGCGTGAACCCGAGAGGAGGAGCTTGCAGTGAGCTGAGATCCGGCCACTGCACTCCAGCCTGGGTGACAGAGCAAGACTCCGTCTCAAAAAAAAAAAAAAAAAGAAAGTGGCAGACTCCACGGTACATTTATAAATTGGCATTTGGTGTGTACCTCAGTTTTCCAGGGCCTGACAGTCCTGCGTGAACTCACAGGGTCCAAACCAGAAAAGCAAGGGCTCAGACCCTGGTACCAAGGCTGCTCCATGTAAAGAATGCTACCCCGTGTGGCCAGACTTGGGTAAGCCACCTTTCAACTGCTTCAGTGTCATTTATTTTCCCACCACATCCCAGAAAGCTCCGGAACACATAAATGAATATATTTATTCTCTCACAGGACATTACACTGTTACCCAGTGTGAAGGGAGCAGCCATGTGGCTCCCAAGCTCCCTTAGCAAAAGAGTCGTTCTCAGAACTGCTCCATTCACGAACCCTCCTGCAACCAGAGGCCTGGGCTCAACTCACACAAAGTTCTGAGCAATGGCCAGCACCTTGGAATACTCGCCTTCCCGCTTGCGCAGGCTGCTGGGGATGGGTGTCTTAATTCGTGTCCCCACAGGGTTCCCGTTGTCCTCAATGAGGACCACGTTGTTGGAGTCGAATCTGGGGGTCATTCGGGGGCCAGGCATGCAATGTCCCACAATGAGCGCCTTTTTCTTCTGTCCCTTGATGGCCAGTAGTATCTGGTCGCCCACCTTGCCCACTCCATTCTTGTTATAGACATGAATGCAGCGAGGAGCCCGATGGTATGCACTGTTCCCCAGGGCACTGTTGTCCACCACTCGTACCCGCGTCATCTTCTGAATCGCACTCAGGCTCCCAGTGGTGCTGGTGGGAGAAAAAAAAGTCTGCAGTCTGTATCTCTCATGGTGAGGGTGCACAGGCCTCTGAAAGGTCAAGGCTAGGGAGAAAGTACATGTCAGCAACACACACACAGCAGAGTGCTGTCCAGGAGCAGCACCAGAAAGTCAGGACTTTGTGAAGACTTATCTGTACCCACAACAGTTTCCTCACAATTGAGAGCTTCTGCTGTTGTGTCAAGATCTCAATTTGGATGAGTTTTAAAGAGAATCCAACGTGACAATGAACTTCACAGCAGCCTAACTTAAAGCCTTTGCTTTCCAAAAGGACTCTGAGGACTTAAAGGAATCCCTTATGGGCTAGGCCTCATCCACTGCCTATCCTGAAAAACCTGCTTCCCCAGAATACACCATTCCCTAATTTTCTTATTTACATGTTGCTGGGAACTAGAAGATATGGGTAAGTTTGCAAAGGGAAGTCCTTGACACAACATAGCAGAAACTGGAAATAAGTCAAGGTAACAATCTTTTAATACATTTTCCCTCATTAGAAAAAAAAATTTTTAGAGAGTACTTATTAAAGACAGACAAGGTATTATTAAACAAGATGATTACAGTGGGATTCCTGTTTTCCTGATGCTAGCACCTGATGCTGGTGTTTCCACAGGGTAATCCTAGGACCTCTTCTCTTGTTTTTTATGCCTACTCTAGGCAGTCTTGCCCGTTAGCATTGCTGCCAACTAGTAAATTCCATCTCCAGCCCCGCCTCTCTTCTATATTCTAGTTCCATACATTTCCACTCCCCTCAACTCCCTACTCTATAGATACTGCAAACTCAGTAGGTCCCAAACTGACCTCACTGCCTCCCCTTGCAAACCTGCTCCTGCTGCTACACTTCTTATCTAGATAATGGCTTCTCCAGCAGCACCAGAACCCAAGCCATAAACCTCTCTCCACCAATATCAACTGGCCACCAAGTCCTGTTAATATCACCCACTAAGCACCTATGTCCTTTCTCTCCAATCCCGCCAACAACTTCCTTCATTGAGCAGCTCACTCTCCTGCACCAAGACTGTGACATTACTGTCCTAGTTGGTTCCCACTGCACTTCACTTTGCAGACAAAGAGCTCTCTTTAGAATATAAAAGTGATGCTACTCCCCACCATCTACACTGTCAACAACTTTGTCCCAATTTACCTACCTTCTAAGGCCACACATTCTACCACTCTGGGCAGGAGCAACCAGGAACTACTGGAGTTCCCCAAGCACACCCTTCCTCCCAATTCTTCCTGAAGGCCTAGACAGGATCTGCCCCCACCTCCCTTTTGAGAAGACTGCCTCCACTCTTTCTCCTTCTCTTCCTCCACTAGCAGCTCCTATGAGAGACCATCAAAAGTACAATCCTCTATTAAAATATTCTATCACATTTTCTTAGAGTTACTTATTTTCAAGTTTGCTCCTATGGCTGACGGTGAGAATTCTTTCAGGACAGGAAGCAACTCTCATTCATCTCTATATGGCCAACCCCAGGCGCGGTGCTCAGGAAACACCTGTGGGATGAGGGCATGACAGGGCCAGGAGGCATGTCTGCCAACGGGCGTGCCTCCTGTGCTCTCCTGGCTTAGCATCTACAAGAAGAGGAGGGTGTCACACTTCTATCATGCTCAAGTTCTTGGTAATAAGCATGTATTATTTTTGTAATTTAAAAAAATTCATTTTTAAAAGAGAGGATTTTAATGCTGTAGGGGAATGACAGGGTTGAGAGATGTCAGATTCACTCTAAGAGTCTTGCAAGGACTGAAGAGTAAAAGCTTCCACCATATGCCATTCCCCGTCGCACTTCTAACAGCATCATCACCTCTTTACCTATCCCCCATCCTGTGACCAGACCAACCAAGCCAGCTCGGCCTGATCCCTTTAGCTTTTCCCAACCCCATGCTTACCTCCCTGAGTTTTTACTCCTGTTCTAGTCACCATAACACCCAGTCCTGATAGGAATCTTACACAAAGACAGTTTTAAGAACTTAATGGGAAAAGTTACCTGAAACAGCGATGGCTCAGTGCTCTGCGTACACCGGTGAAGGGGCCCCAGAGCCCAGTAAAGAAAGCCATGGGATCCCAAGATAGATCCTGCAGGAAAAATGAGAGGGGGAAAAATTGGTTTCGAAGTCACAGCCCTTAGAGCCAGTTTTCTTTGGGGACTTGTGTGGGAGATGGCACTTCCAGCACAAGATCATTAGTCACAAAATATAAATCTTAGTGGTTAAAGGATACACAGATGATTAGACAGAGCTCTAGCTCCGATTTTGCTGATTCACGTTCTAACTCTGGGGTTGGAGAGGTGGCATGGCCCACAACAGCTTCTGCTATAAAAAAAATACAGCAGCACAGAGAATGACTTCCTTATTATATCACTTCTACAGGCAGGAGGAAAATATGAACCCTTGGTTATAAATCCAGCCAGGGACTACTTCTCGAGTCCTCCACAGAGGAAAAACTGCACACTATTGCCCTTGTTGATACTCATGCGCCTTCTGAAACCAGTACTTTAACTCCCTAAAAGAAAGTAAAGTATCTAAGCAGCCACTCAAGTTGTCTGTCACTACATCACCTTTCCCCCAAATGTAAAGGCCAGAACACCTGTACAGCTCAAGGCCAGCAAAGCAAAGCCAAAGGCTGCTCTTGCCAAGTCAAAGACCAAAGTCTCTATTTGGGTCAGTCTCCCAAACAACACTGTAAAATGGAAAACTGACCTACACCATACTACAGCTGAAAGTGGGCTTTGGGAAACCAAGTTGAAGAGTTAGTTGAAAGAGCAAACACCAACCCAAGACTTGTGGCTCCAGTTTTCAGAATCTCAACCCTGTTGCTCCCTAGCACTAACAAATATAGAGGCTGCCAGCGCCCTGAAACACCAGAACATCACTTCAGAGAGTGCTTCAGAAAGGCCTGTAGCCAGCTGCAAAACACACCTGTTTTTCCACCCAAATGTTTGGCTGCAGAGGTGCCCATTCAAGAGGTCTGCCGAGAAAAGCCTCTACACTGTAGTATTTACACACAGCTTTGCTTTGCACAACTTCAAACCACCTCAGATAAGACTTTATTTAATAAGAATGTTGGGGTGGGGGGCAGAGGAATCCACTCTTCCCCAGGAATACCTAGACACTCCATAAATACTTTTTTTTTTTCTTTCCTTGAGACAGAGTCTTGCTCTGTCACCCATGCTGGAATGCAGTGGTACAATCGCAGCTCACTGCAGTCCTGAACTCCCCAAGCTCAGGTGATCCTCCCACCTCAGCCTCCCGAATAGTCAGGACCACAGACACGCACCAGGATGCCAGGCTAATTTTTTGGGGTTTTTTCTCAGAGATGATGGTCTCACTTTGTTGCCCAGGTTGGCCTTGAACTCCTGAGTACTCCTGAGTTAATTTAATCCTCCCGCCTCAGCCCCCCAAAGTGCTGGGATTATGGGTGTGAGTCACCCACCAAAACTGGCCTTTAAATGCTTATTAACTACAATTTAGCCTCAAATCCCAAACTTACTCCCAAATGTTTTCCTTAAGACAACCCATGAAGCATTAGCCAAAATGTAATTATGATTAGAAAAATTAAATGCAAAAGAAGGCAGCTAATGTATGCAACTACTAACATCTGACACACAGAGAATCACAGACTACCAAATGAGACCAGCTTTACTTTTACTGGTGAGGTAACCCTGGACAAGTAACCAAACTGCTGAGCTTTGGTTTCCCATTTGTAACACAGGGATACTAACAGTATCTTCCCCCAAGGTAGTTATGAGGATTCAATTAGATAAGCCATGCAAAGCACTTAGCATAGTGCCTGGCACTCTTTACCAGCTAATAAGCTATCATCATCATCATGTCATATATCATTTTAAAGATTAGAAAATTGATATACAGGCAGATTAAGTGACTTGTGTAGAATCCCACAATTAGTCAAGGGCAGAACCAGAACTGGATCCAGGTTCAGTCCAAGGCCGTTCCAACCGCACTCCGCAGCCTTGCTCTGCTATACCAAAACTCATTTCACACGAGAGCCCTGGGTGTCAAGCAGCTTTAAGGGTCATTTGGCCTCTTTCTGTGTTCTTTGTTTATGAACACTTATCAAATGGTTACAATGTGTCAGGCAGCAGGTTAAGTGTCTTACATACCATCTCATTTAAACTTCATGGCCGGGCACAGTGGCTCACACCTGTAATCCCAGCTGAGGTGGGCAGATCACCTGAGGTCAGGAGTCTGAGATCAGCCTGACTAACATGGAGAAACCCCATCTCTACTAAAAATACAAAATTAGCCAGGCATGGTGGCACAACTCTGTAATCCCAGCTACTCAGGAAGCTGAGGCAGGAGAATCGCTGGAACCCTGGAGGTGGAAGTTGTGGCGAGCTGAGATTGCATCATTGCACTCCAGCCTGGGCGACAAGAGCAAAACTCTGTCTCAAAAAAATAAATAAATAAAATAAACCTCAAAAAACTCTATGAAATGGGTACAATTATTATTAGCCTCATTGTTATACACAAAGAAATAAAGCCCAGAGAGGTTAAATAACTTGCCCAAGGTCACATGGCTAGGAGTGACCAGGCTGAAATATGAACCCCAGTTGTGGGCTTCCTAAACCCATGTTCTTACTGAACAGAGTAAACACGGCAACTTTAATTTAAATATTAATATTTTACAACTATTAAATCATTCTTGTTCCATCAAGAATATTGACGTCAGCTGGGCGCAGTGGTGCATGCCTATAATCCCAGCACTTTGGGAGGCCAAGGCAGGCGGATTACTTAAGGTCAGGAGTTCAAGACCAGCCTGGCCAACATGGTGAAACCCCTTCTCTATTAAAAATACAAAAATAAGCCGGGCGTGTGGCAGGCACCTGTAGTCCCAGCTACTCAGGAGACTGAAGCAGGAGAATCGCTTGAACCTGGGAGGCGGAGGTTGCAGTAAGCCAAGGTTGGGCCACTGCACTCCAGCCTGGGCAATACAGTGAGACTCCATCAAAAAAAAAAAAAAAAAAGAACACTGACGTCACATGCACATTTTACTCACAGCCAATTCAGTGCTAGCTGAATCAACTGAAATGGAGACACATACCAGGTGAAAATTATTCCCTTTAATCTAATTTAAGTTTTGAAGACAATTTGTAGTACAGGAGGCAAGAAGAGATCCATACTCAGAGCAATAGCTAAAAACTGGCAAAAAAACAAACAACAAAACAAAACTTCTGAAAAGTAGAGTCCTTCTGGTCCAGGCTGCGTTAGCTCAAATCCCTGCCAAGCTGTTCCCATCTGATGCTGGCAGGCCTTTGGCTCCCTGGGGGAGAGGAGTCTCCTGAGCGACTCCACAGAACCCTCAAGATTCACCCAGCACCACCCACATTCCCTCTCCCGAGAAGTGCAACACCCTGCCTCTCAGCACCACACTGCTTCCTCAAGAACGCTGATATTAGTCCAAGAACTGCAGAAGCACTTAAGGGCTTCCCAGAACTTTCCTGACTCAGGTGTCATCACAAAGCACCTCCCTAAACTCTGTAAGGCTGTCAGTGCACAAACACAAACTCAGGCCTCCTCTCTGCACCTTGCTCTCATGCCATCTCCACAACCAACACTCATCTCTGCCCAGCCAAATGTGATCCAGCTCCACAAGAATCTCCTCCACAAAGTCTTGTGTCAAACGGCAGCATCAATTGCTACGCCTCCTGAACACTGGGACATCCTTGTGCCAGTGCAACGCTCAGAGTCAATATTCACTATCCAAACACCGACACTGAGTAAATGTGGATACTCTGAGATAAGGCTGATGTCCTTTAACATTCTATTTCTTCCTACTCGCTATCCAAAATTCAGAAACCAGATATTCTGACAACATGGCATCTGAACATGCTACAGGAATTCAGGAGCCACACAGACTCTGATGGTAAGGATTACCTGTACTGCCCTCAAACACAAGAGTGATATATTCATGTCTCTAGGGAGCACTTCCCAATTCAGTGACTTTTCACTAGCTCTTTAGTGGATCTGATATTGACCTCTAGACCTAAACCCAAAGGACTCAGACATCAAATGGCCAGCAGTTAGCATTCCTATGAACTTGAAAGCACAAAAGAACCAAATACATTCACTTATTGTATATATGTCCTGTATCCCTCCAAAAAAACAAACTGTTGTACCCTCCTCTTCCACCCTAGCAAAAGACCCCAGCCAGTCCTGATAGTAACAGTAGGAGTACAATAAATACTTGTTGAATAAAATAAATGAGGTAGCCAAGAGATAGACAGATCCCCCATGGCTCTGACGGAGGGAAATCCAGACACGGTAGAGCTCTTATCTGTATTTTCGGAATCAGGACATGTCAGGCAAACACGCTGTAAGAGAATGATGGTGCTAATCATGGAAGATTAGCCCATGCTTTTTTTCCAGGCCCCCTGGACTCACCTCCTGGGCCTGGTGCCTATACTGTCCACTATGGAAAATGCCTCATCCCACCACTAAAATAACTGCTTCAGATCAGGGAAGAGCAATGGAGGCAGCAATTTACTTCAAAGCAACTTTGATGGACCCTGATATTATTTCCTAGCATAAATCTATCCTATGGACACAGATTCTGAATCACTTCAGACCTAGTCTATATACAATGGTTGTTTCACAAGGAATGTCACTCTGAGTCGTGTGCACAGGAGACTGGCTTCAACGATAGTTCCTTCTCTACGACACTCTCACTTAGAGGAGGCCAGGTATTTGGAAAACTTTGGTGCCAGAGACGGCTTTTCATGCCACTTCCTGATCAGCACTAAGTATTACCCTCCTGTTTTAGAAAATCAATCAACTTCTCCTTAAAAAGAGCTGGGGTCGGGGGTGGGAAGAGAGGGTGGGTGGAAGGAAAAGAAAAAAGAAATTAATACAACCCAAGCCATGCTCATTTTCCATCTTGCTTTAAGATCTCCCTTCAGTTGTAGAGGCAAGGGAGGACTAAAGATTTCAATGGAATATGGGGAAATTGGCATCGCCCTACAGATTCCATTGGATTGCATGCTCTGTGAGAGCAGGGACCAGCCCTTGCTCTGCTCGGTGCCAGACACTCAGTGCCCAGAACTGTGCCTAGCACACCTACAGCTGAGTAACTCTCTATTAAGTGGACAGAACTGATTTATGGCTGGGCACGGTGGCTCACGCCTGTAATCCAAACACTTTGGGAGGCCAAGGTGGGCGGATCACCTGAGGTCAGGAGTTTGAGACCAGCCTGGCCAACAATACCAAATTTTTGGTCTCTACCAAAAATACAAAAATTAGCGGGGCATGGTGGCATGTGCCTGTAGTCCCAGCTACAGTCAGTCCCCGGATGAGGCAGGAGAATCTCTTGAACCTGGGAGGCGAAGATTGCAGTGAGTCGAGATCACACCACTGCACTCCAGCCTAGGTGAAAGAGTAAGACACTGTCTCAGAAACAAAACAAAAAAAGAACTGATTTATAATTCAACCTCCAGCTCCAGAGAGGCTCCATGTGAGCGGGGTTTGTGGTTTTTCTTGTGCCCTTTACCCAGGCTCCCAGTGACTTGGGAGAGCCTCACAGGCACAGAGTGCTTTTTTCTTTCTTTCTTTTTTTTTGAGAAGGAGTCTTGCTCGGTCGCCCAAGCTGGAGTGCAGTGGCGATCTCGGCTCACTGCAAGCTCCACCTCCTGGGTTCACGCCATTCTCCTGCCTCAGCCTCCCGAGTAGCTGGAACTACAGGCGCTAATTTTTTGTATTTTTAGTAGAGACGGGGTTTCACCGTGTTAGCCAGGATGGTCTCGATCTCCTGACTTCGTGATCTGCCCGCCTCGGCCTCCGACAGTGCTGGGATTACAGGCGTGAGCCACCGTCCTCTGCCAGAGAGCTCATTTTTAGCTACTCTGAGTTGGAAGGGCAGACACAAAGAGTCTGTACCTCTGATGCTTTCTGGAATGCTGGAAAGTACCATTAAGTTTTGAGGATCAGCAAAATATATTTAGTATCACAGATCTATATATAATTATACATTGTTTCTACCTAAACAATTTCAATCTTTAGGTACCTGGCAGGTTACATTTTAAAGACCTTTCAAGGGGAATGGCCTCTATAGAAAAAGGAGAAAACAAAAAGTTCAGCACAATCACAAATGAGCCTTTAAAGGAGGTTCTGCTAGTATGTAACGGACAGGAAAAGAGACACTGAAAAATCAAATGGAAAGCCCAGATGCAAAAAAGACAAACTCTGCCAGTGTGAGAGTATAAATGTCCTTCTTAATCAAAATAGGAAAAGCAAAGGCCTGGCAGCTCTGATAAATCAAAAACAAAAAGGAATTTTTGGGACCCTCTGTCCTGTCACGCAGACACAACCCCTCACATCTCAGGTTTCTCCTCAACCATTCTGGACCAATAAGTACTTTCATTTGTTGCTTACAGACTCATTACTGTTTTTGCTGCCCAACTATTTCCTTTTAGGAAGTGTGGTGTGTGCGTGGTTTGGTAACCTCACACAACAGCATGTTATAATTCTCAAAGTACTTTCACACAGATCACTTTCTTTGAAGATTTCAGTTTGAGCTCCCAATGGAAACAAAGACAAACAGGAAAGACCAACAGTCTGCAAGGCGGCTGAATCTGCTAATGATTCTGAACAGTTCTGCAGGCTCCACAGAGTTGGAGAAATGAAGACAGAAATGCAAAGCCTGTTGGTTGACTCACCCAAGGTTAGAAGGCAATAAGGCCCAGATCAGAGCCCAAGGCTGTTTTTATTAAACACTGCACAATACTTGCACAGTGATGCTGCTTTAGCCACTAATAAGCTTCATGGATACAAATAAATGTTCCACACACAGGGTAAGTACTCCTTCTCCTTTGGCAAAGCTGCCACATAATCTTTAAAAAACTCAGGAAACAAAAAGCCATCTCTTCATTAAATATTTGCACTACACGCAGGACAGCCTTGGACCAAAGCTAAAGCTGATTTTGAGTGATCTGCCAAGGTGTGAGTTTTCACAGCAGCACTATCAATGTAAAGTATCCCTCAATAGGATGATCGGCTGTTTCCACCACAGCTACCACTGAGAAAACCCCATTTCTCAATCCCATTTCACAAAGGGAAAACATGTCTAGGGTTATTGTCCTATATTTGTTTATCTAACTTATGCCCCACCTTGTTGCAAAAGTATTTAAAGCAGGGCGTGGTGGTTCACACCTGTAATTACACCACTTTGGGAGGCTGAGGGAGGAGGATCACTGGAGTTCAGGGGTTGGGGGTTGCAGTGAGCCATAATTTTGACACAACACTCCAGCCTGGGTGACAGAGTGAGACCCTGCCTAAAAAAAAAAAAAAAGTAAGCAGTAGTACTTAGACAGATCTGACAATTTTCAATTATTCAAGATGGTTTTTCAAAGTGGAGATAATTGTATAGTTTATCTAGTTTTGCTCCCCCTCCCATCCCTACCTCACAAGTATACAAACATCTATAATCCAGATATAAATTTGTAATATTCTTCATCTGGTCCAACTCAGGAAAAACTGCACAAGGTAAAGTAAAATTCTACTGAATCATATACATAATTCCCTTCCTATTAGTACTTACATTGGGCCAGGTTTAGGTGGGCTCCAGGTTTATGAAGATGTCAGACTGGCAGGAGAGTAGTGTAGAAAAGTTAAAGAATGGGGATGGGAGGGTGCTGCTGATGGAAAGCATGTATCTCTTTCACTCCATCCTCCCCTTCTCTCACACCAAGTCTGTGACCCTGGAATCACCTGTCCAGGTCTCAACGACTCTCTGCCAAGCAGAGATCATATTGGGAAAAGCAAAGTGGTCTGGAAATGGAAGTGCTTTAGCTTCACTCATATAAGGGATCATTTTAACATGGACAATCCTTCTCTGAATTATCCAGTAGGGACTAAATCTGCAGGATAAATTGTTTACCAGATCCTGGCCCGGAAGAGCAAGCTTGTTTCCTGATTCTTAGGGCAGCACCATGGATGCCTCTTTAAGATCACAGCCCTGAAAGTGTTTTCAGTTTAGAGTGGACATGATGAAGTGCTTCCCCTCTTTTCTAAAGACATAAATGATTTTTTGAGTTTTTAACAGAGGGCTTTCCTACTCTGAGTTGTGTTTCACTGGTGAATGGTAAGCTACTTTACTACGACCTTTTTAAATATTCAGCATATTACCTGACCCAGAACATTTCTGAGATCTGAACTGCAGTCTTCTCTTGCATACTAGTTGTCACTGTAAATACACATGTAAAATCATACCAGGGGTAAGCAACAACCCAGAAAAATCATGAGCCTATAAAATAGAAGGCTAAACCATAACCTGCTTTTCGAGCCCCCACACAGCCCTAAGAACTAGCCAAGTGCTGGGCGCGGTGGCTCACGCCTGTAATCCCAGCACTTTGAGAGGCCAAGATGGGCGGATCACGAGGTCAGGAGATCGAGACCATCCTGGCCAACATGGTGAAACCCCGTCTCTACTAAAATACAAAAAGAAATTAGCTGGGCGTAGTGGCAGGCGCCTGTAGTCCCAGCTAGCGGGAGGCTGAGGCAGGAGAAGGGCGTGAACCCGGAAGGCGGAGCTTGCAGTGAGCCAAGATTGCGCCACTGCACTCCAGCCTGGGCGACAAAGCATTTTTGAGACTCTGTTTCAAAAAAAAAAAAAAAAAAAAGAACTAGCCAAGCAACCTGACAGTAGGAAAATCCGTCTTAGGTGGGCCCAGGTATCATAATCCCAAAGACATGAGTGGAGCAAAATAGGTTTTAAAGGATTCTTGCAACTGAAGACTCTAGGAGCTAAGGAGAGTCTAAATAACCATGTTCAGTGCCCAATTACCTGAAAAGTGGACTCCGGAGAAATTTTGTTGTTGTTATTTCCTTCCCCCCCCCCACCCCAGGAAACATTTTATCTTTAATATTCAGGAGCAATAATAAAATATTTTGGCCACTGTTCCTTCACGGATTCCACAAGGCACTTAATTCTCATGTCAGGCTTTCTGAAAATGCTTGCCCTGGAAAGTGTCACTTGATGGCTCACACACTCCTTAAGGATTAGGTGCTGACCCTAATCAGGCACAGGCAGAAATAGCTCAGGAATCCACATGCTCAGACTCAAAACTATACTATTTTGTAAAAAATAAAAACATATAAAAAATGCCTTCTGGCTGGACAAGGAGGCTCATGCCTGTAATCCCAGCACTTTGGGAGGCTGAATTGGGTAGACTGATTGAGGCCAGGGGTTGGAGACCAGCCTGGGCAACATGTTGAAACCTCATCTCTGCTAAAAATACAAAAATCAGCCAGGAGTGGTGGCGCACGCCTGCAGTCCCAGCTACTCGGGAGGCTGAAGCATAAGAATTGCTAGATCCCAGGAGAGGCTGCAGTGAGCTGAGATTTCACTGCTGCACCCAGATCTCCCCAGCCTGGGCAAGACAGACTGAACCAAAAAAAAAAAAGCCTTCTAGTGATTCTCAGAAGTCCAAAAACCAGATAACTATGGCCTCCACTTCCATTTTTCGTTTACCCATTACAATGCTATTTGACCTCAAAGTGAATTTTATTGTTCCACACATGCAATAGATTACACCAATTTCACAACTCCCAGAATCCAAACCTACAAAGACCCTTCCCACCAGGCACCTTACCAAAAACGGGCTTCGTCTCCATCTTCCTTTCTGTCACAGTTGAAAAACTGCCCTTTCTAATTAAGCCAACCAACTTCTTACCTCAATAAAATCCTTGTTTTTCAATAGCACATACAGTATTTCCAGTGATGAATAGTGAACTGTCTTTCATCTCACACAGTAACCTCCGTGAAGAATATCCACTTTGTTCTTTACTGTATATTCCTGGCATGCTAACTGCATCCTCACGGACAATTTTAAGTGACTGAAAACTCAGGCAAAGAAAGGCAAGAGGGCAAATAGAAGGGCACAGGACACCAATGCTTTTCAAATTTTTCTCACTGCGACCTACAGAAACACACTGTAGAACACCTTCTAATACATTCACACGTGTGTGTACACCTGAAGCAAGTGTCAAGAAACAATACCCTTACTAAGTGCAACACTGTCTGATATTTTCTGTTTCATGTTTTAAATGGCCGTGATCTACTAAACTGATTTCCAACTCACCATAGGATTCAGTTTGAAAAACACTGCAATAAATCAAACCTTACAGTTGCATTCCACAAGCTACTAATGAACTCTTGAAAAGCCAGCATACAGCAGCGACGCTGACCAACTACAAGATCCAAACCTCCAGGTGGGCAGTGTCCTTCTGTTCAGCAGTGGCAGTTCCCCACCACCACCACCAGCCCTGGGAGTTTTAAGTATCTCCCAAACTCCCAGAGTTTCCCAAGTAGCCCAAGGTGTCTGTCATATGCCCTTTTAACCTCTTTATAAATTCAGTCCCATCCATCTCTTATGGTGGCAAAGTTCATTCATTGTCCGCTGTGGAAAGCAAAACTTCCTTTTTGTCCCCTCCAGGAACCAAAAATTAAATGACCAGGTTGGTGCCCGTTGTGCCTTTGTGATCTATTTGTGTGGGTGACATATATATAGAAAAGAGTCTCAGTCTCTCCCTTCATCTTTCCAGTCTTAATCACTGATAGATGCAGTCTCTGGTGAAATGAGAAACCAGGGAACCCCCTTGCCTGGGGGAGGGCGCACTCATCAGCGTGACCGAGTGAAAGCAAAACCTCAATCCTCACACCACAGAGGCGTCTGGATAACTCATCTCCAGACCCAAGTTGGGAAAGGGGAGGGCGGCGCGGAGAGCGGAGAAGCCCGAAGAGACGCACTGGAGTGACCTGCGACAGCTGAACGCAGCCCGCCCTCCCCAGGTCGGCTCCGCAACCCGGGGAAAGCAGGTGAGAGCCTGCCACGGACTTGGAAGTCGCAGAAGCCGCCCACGGAGAGTCAGAGGGAGGAGGGTCCGGGTGAGGGGCCTCCCCTCCCCGTCGGGACCCCTCCCACTGACCCTCTGCCTCCCACTCTGGCCTCTCCTCACTCACCCCGGGGAGTGGGCCTCCTCTAGTGGAGAGAAAGGAAGAGAAGGAGAGAATTAGGGGCCTAACGCCCACCCACTCACCCACCATACCGCTTTTGCCGCCCGGGAAAATCCCGCCGCGGGCCTCACCGACCAAGCGCCGCCTTCGCCCCACGCGGTCTCTCCCCAGCGCCTGCGCGCCAGGCCCAGCCCGGCGGACGCGATCTGAGAGTGCGCGCGCGCCTTGCGTGCGCCGGCGTAGGGGACGGGACATACGGGGCTCCGCCCCCTCCCTCTCCCTCCTCCCGCTCCCCCTCCCCCATACACTGCCGCGGCCGCCGCAGGAGCCCGGAGCTCGAGCCGCCCAGCGACTCCCCCTCCCCCTCCCCCAGCCCCGCCCCGCCCCAACCCGGGGCTCGGAGCCGGAGCCGAGTCTGCGCCTGGGGGTGAGTATGCGACCCCTCCCCAGCCCTCGCTCTTTTCTTCGAAGATCCCACCACCACCCAAAGAAAAAACCTGGACTCAGCTGCGCGTCCCCTCCCTTCAGCCTCCTGCGGGACCCAGAGGTGCCCGGGCCCGCGGGACCCAGCGGTGGCGCGCGCTGCCCCCAACCCCGCACCATCCCGAGCCAAATGTGAGTCCTCCAACCCCTGCCGGAGGTCCACATACGCGCCGCCCGCTCTCCCCAGTCCTGGGGAGATCCCAAGGGGTGGGACCCCCGCCCCCGGCCCCCGAGTGCCACTCTTCTCCCACCTGCCCGGTGCAGGTGCGCGTCCCCTGCGCGCCCCTCGGGAGTGCCAGCTGCGCCCCGCCTGTCCGCCGCCGCTGTGGGGAACTAGCCGCCCCCGCCCCCGAGTTTTGGACCCCGGGGTCGCCAAGTCCGATGCCTTCGGTCCCTTTTATTTTTTCTGCTGCTCCCGGGGGCGAGTACACCAGAAGCCGGCCCAGGGTAAGGGCTCGGGCTTGGGCAAGGGCAGGGTTCGCAGGCGCTGGCATGAGGCCGGCGGCTGCCCCCGACCCTTCTGGGGACTGACTGGTCTGCAGGCTGGGGAGGCGGCCGGCCCCGGGAGCGTGTCCTCTCCTTACGCCCCACACAGTGCAGTTCATTCATGAGCCGCCCGGGCCTGCGTTGGAGGGTGCGGTGGGGAAAAGATTCAGACGCGGAACCGAGAGTGGGGCAAAGGCCCTGTTGCGGGGAGGGGGCGCCGCTTTGTCCCTCCTGGCTGTCTTGAACGCCTAAGGCGGACAGTTCCAAAGCTTGGCTTCTTGTTCCCCAGAAAAGGAAAGGACGCTTGGGAAGTGAGCAGGAGAGGTCAGAGGCTGCCCTTGGGGCTCTGTGTTGCCACCTGCCTGGGTCCCCTGGGCAGAGGTCTGGCCGCTCAGGGCAAGCTTGAGCACTCCACTGCCCTGGGGGGCTGGGGCTTGCCTACCCAATACCGGTCTGCAGCAGCCTGGGAGCAATGAGGCTGTGCCCAACACCTGCTGAAGAGGGGCCCATCCTGCCTCCCAGGCCAGGATGAGGAGGGGAGTGGGAGTGTCAGCCAGGCTTCAAGTGGGGGTGTGCTGGCAGCATGATTGTCCTCCAGGGCACCAGAGGGTCCAGGCCCTGGCATGCCCCAGGTGGCACATGCTGGGGCCTGCTGTTGGCTCACTCAGTGCAGTCTTGGCCTGTGGGTGGGTGGGGACATGGCAAGGCAGAAGTCAGGCGGTAGGTAACTAAGAACCCCCTTGGGACATCATACAAGTTCCCTCCAAGTATAGCAGAGTCTTAGAGACCTGAGTTCAAATTCTAGCTCTACCATTCTTCAGCTGTGTGACCTTGACAAGTTACTTAACCTGTCTGAACCTCAGTTTTCATTAAAAAGTGTGTTTATGACTATAATTCCAGCACTTTGGGAGACTGAGGCAGACAGATCACTTGAGGTCAGGAGTTTGAGACCAGCCTGGCCAACATGGTGAAACCCCATCGCTACTAAACATACAAAAATTAGCCAGGCATTGTGGCACACACCTGTAATCCCAGCTACTCGGGAGGCTGAGGCAGGAGAATGGCTTAAACCTGGGAGGCAGAGGTTGCAGTGAGCCGAGATCGTGGCACTTCACTCCAGCCTGGGTGACAGAGCGAGACTGTCGCAAAAAAAAAAAAAAAAAAAAATGTGGTTACTACCACCTCCTTACAAGTTTTATCATGGGGATCACACAAGGTAACAAGTAAAGAGCTTGACATCCTTCCTGGTAGTTGATCAATAATGGGTTATCATCTCTGAACTTCTGACCCATTACTCTCCCATGCCTCCACCTCCCAGGCTGCCACAGATGCATGGGGTATGTTCAAAGAGTGAGAATATTCCCTATCACTCACTGGCAGAATCCTTAACACAGTGTAAACCCTTAGGTCTGAATAAGAAGCCCAACCTGACTGAGGGGCTCTGTTATATTTCTATCATGTTAAATTCTGTGTTTTTATCTTATTTTTGTTTTCACCAGTTTTCTTTCTCTAAACCAATCCCTTTTATTCCATACCTTATTAATAACAATAGCTAATTCTTGGAGCCTGTTATATGCCTTGAACTGTATTAAGAGCTTTTAATCCCCAGAACACCGACACAATTGGATTATTGTCCCATTTTACAGATGAAGAAACTGAGGCCCAGGGTGACTAAGTAATTTTCCCAGGTTAGAAGCCTGGTCTGTCACATCCTAGAGTCTGTGCTTTTAACCACCAGACTACGGTGCCTGTCCCCTACACCTGCCTCAGAACCTGAAATCACAAACCCAAGGCCTGAGTGGAAGGAAGCTATAAGCAAGAGGAAAGGCAAGCAGGTAGAAATAGGGTATGGCATTTCTCCAGAGTGGTAACTGGCTGCCTCCAGCTCCCTGGTGGAAGTGGCTCTTGTTTGCAGATATCTCTGCAAAGTGCGGTGATTAAGAGCATACACTTGAGCCAGGCAGCCTGGGTCCTTATCTGGATCTACACAGACTGGCTATGTGACCTTGAGTAGCTCATATACTCTCTCTGTACCTCAGTGTCCTCCTGGGGTTGTGATGGGGAGCGAATGAGTTACATTTGTAAAGTGCTTAGAAGAGTGCTTGGCACAAAAGAAGAGTTAAACATTTTTAATACATGTGTTATTTTACTACTTTTTTTTTCTGTTTTTCTTTTTTCTTTCCTTTTTTTTTTAGACAGGGTCTCTGTCTGTCACCCAGGATGGAGTGCAGTGGCATGATCTCGGCTCACTGCAGCCTGGAACTCCCTGGGCTCAGGTGATCCTCCCACCTCACCTTCCAGAGTAGCTGGGCCTATAGACGTGCACCACCATGCCTGGCTAAATTTTGGGGGGGTATCTTTTGCAGAGACAGGGTTTTCCTATGTTTTCCAAGCTGGTCTCGGACTCTTGAGCTCAAGCGATTCTCCCACCACAGCCTCCCAAAGTGCTGGGATTATAGGTGTGAGCCAACATGCCTGGCTTTTTTTTTTTTTTTTTTTTTTTTTTCCTGAAGACAAGGTCTTGCTCTGTTGCCCAGTTTAGAGTGCAGTGGCATGATCATGGCTGACTACAGCCTCCAACTCCTAGGCTCAAGGGATCTTCCCCACTTGGCTTCCAAAAGTGCTCAGATTACAGGGGTGAACCACCCCACCCTGCCTACTACTACTTTTTTTTTGAGATGGAGTCTCACTCTGTCACCCAGTGGCGTGATCTAGGGTCACTGCAACCTCTGCCTCCTGATTTCAAGCAATTCTCCTGCCTCAGCTTTCCGAGTAGCTGGGACTACAGGCTCGCGCCACCATACCCAGCTAATTTTTGTATTTTTTTAGTAGAGACGGGGTTTCACCATATTGGCCAGGCTGGTCTCGAACTCCTGACCTTGTGATCTGCACACCTCGGCCTCCCAAAATGCTGGGATTACAGGTGTGAGCCACCGTGCCTGGCACCTACTACTACTTTTATGCTCACTTGTGGATATATTCTTTGCCTATCCCTCTGAAGTGGGTAGGGGGTAGAGTAAGAATATTCATATCTCTTTGTTACAGATTGGAAGACTGAGACTTAGGTTTCATAGTAACAGAGCTAGCTTCCATCTTCACCTCCTCCCCTCAGACCACATGGCCTTGCTTTGATCCCAAGCCCTAACTTAAATCTTGTCCAGTAACTCCATTGAAAAAGTTTATATCACGCCTGTAATCTCAGCACTTTGGGAGGTTGAGGCGGGCAGATCATGAGGTCAAGAGATTGAGACCATCCTGGCCAACATGGTGAAACCCTGTCTCTACTAAAAATACAAAAATTAGCTGGGCATGGTGGCATGCGCCTGTAGTCCCAGCTACTCGGGAGGCTGAGGCAGGAGAATCCCTTGAACCCAAGAGGCGGAGGTTGCAGTGAGCCAAGATCGCACCACTGCGCTCCAGCCTGGTGATAGAGCAAGACTCCGTCTCAAAAAAATACATAACAACCAAAAAAACAGGCGTATAAGTTATAGCTCTCCAACCCCCACCATGCACACACTCCTTAATGGTAAAATAAAAGCTTAAGTTAGCTAGAAATAAAATCCTCCATCACTCTCTGGACATACTTCTAGCTAAAGCCTCAATATCGGACTAGAGAAACTCTGGAATATAGCTGGTGCAGGCGCCTTGTGGAGTGGAAGAACTGCCACCTCCCGTCCCGGAGGTATTCTGCCTCAGTGTCTTCCCTCTTCTCTATTTCTCAGCCCAGTGCTGGCTTTGAAAGCAGCTGCCGTTGATGAAACTCAGCCCAGCAACCCCGCCCCCACAATTAGAAGCTTGGAGCAGGCCTGTCAACCAGCAGAGCCGCCAGCCCAGGCTCCACCCCTTACCTGTCCTGTCACTGCAAGTTGCTTCCCCTACTGGGTTCTTGCTTCCTCCCTGTAAAATGGGGATAGCGATCTGAGTGCACCCTGCCTTCCTCCCATGCAGGTGGGAGAATTAATGCAGTTGTGGAGGTGAGAGTGCTTTGTGACCCTAAGGAGGCCGACAGCAGAGGAGCATGGTGATTTCAGTTACTAAGCATCTGGCTAGACCCTGTCCACCCTGCTGGGGCCAATTCATATAGAAGCTTCCAAAATGCTCTACCTTTCTTTGGTGTGGATAAGACAGGAGGTGATAGGAATGGTACTCTGGGGCTTGTTCTCATTTCATTCTGATCTGGTGGAGCCTTGGAATTGAGAGAAACAGGCAAGCGGTGGGAATGGAGTGTTGAGATTGCTGGAGTACATTGGAGTTGAGAATTGAGAAAGGGGGACTAGTTAGAGCCCCCCCAACCCAAGATACCTATACCTACCTTTAACCTCCTATAGTGTGCCAGGGTTCTGTGCATCTTATGTTTACATACCCAGGCTCCCAGACACACCCATGTTCACACCCCCACTTCGAAGCCAACAACTCCCTTCATTTCCGTGGACTGCCATGCAGTCACCTAGCTCCTCCTGGACACAGGTCCACACATCAACACACATTTACCTGGACACACATACCTGGACACACACATTTCCACAGCACCCTCAAGTTCTCTGGCCTGAGAACTTTTAATGAGCATTTATAAAGCTTCCATGGTCTGCCGAGTCCTGTTCTAGGTACATCAGAAAAGCATTGTGGTGCCCTGAAAAGCATTCTAGCTTTAAAAAGAAGGTGAGCTAGGTTTGGGTCCTAGGTCCCTCATTTTATTAGCAGTGTGACCTTGGGAAAGTTGCCTAACCTCTGAGTCCCTGTGCCCCCACCCTAAAATGTCAATGACACTCAACTCAGGATCATTGAGGATTGAATGAAATCACGTATATATTATTCTTGAAACTGAGGGCACTGGACAAATGGTACCTGATACAATTACTAAATTGGTGTATTTTTAAAGGCAGCTTGAACTGGAAAAGGGGGAGGCATGACATACCAGCAGTTACTCCTTTAGTCTTCCTAATCCAGGCTTTGCAGAGACTCCCTGGGACCAAGTAAAACACATCAACAACTCCATCCTCCCCTCCATCTGAGGGCTTCTGCCTCTTGCCCTGTGGTTGAAGTGTTAGGAAGAGGCAGGAGAAACCCTCTGATTCCCCCTGGGGGCAAAGGGCCCCTGCTCCCGAAGTTGCAGTCACTGTTGCTAGTTTTGTTGTTCTCTTTGTCTGGTTTTCCTTTTCCTTCCCTGAGGACCTTCCCCCACCCCCCGCCCCCAAGGCAGAGCTTCAGTGTTGTCGGCAGAAGGGTCCCCCAGGGACCCCCCAGTAAAATGGGTGGGGCAGTGCTGCACTGCTGAGGCCACACTTCTCCGCCATCCTGGGATTCTCCCCAGGGCCCCACTCTGTTCTGTCCCCAAACACTTTGAGAACCCAGGCACTCAGGCTGGCTGTCCCTTTCCTCCTCCTCCTGCCCACCCCATCCACTCTGAGCATCAATGCAGCTGGCCAGCAGCAGGGAACCAGACAGCACCCTGGCTGCCCGGGCAGGCTAAGAGGCCCCCACCCACTCTCCCCTTCTTTGCCAGTGGAAAAGCTCGCCGGAGGGCATAGCTTTCCCAGCCTTCCCTGCTTTAGAGGCAGCAGCATGGCACTGTGGGAGTTGTAGTACTCATAACACTCAGGTGATCCTGTGCAAATAACTGAAGAGAGGAGAACGGTATAGGGAAGAGAAATGAGAATAAGCAGGAGTGGCTGGGGCCAGGGAGGTAACTCGAACGCAGAAGTCCTGCTATTTACTTGACTTCCTACTCTGACCCATCGTCGAACCTAAGCCAGTTATATAGAGGTGATTAACAGAGTTCAAAACCCTAATCAAATGAAATCGTGCCATTTTTCTAATAGGCATAGAAAGAAAAGATCAGGACGAGGCAGCTGGCTCCTGACCCATTTTCCCCTGATGTGGAGACCCCTCATCTTACCCTGAGTCCTCAAATCTAAGACCCCTCCCTGTCTTCCTAGGCTCAGCTCCGCCCCCTGCCCTAAGACTGAAAGAATGAGAGTGTGGGGGTGGCGGGGGCAGGGGGCATTTAGATAGATGTTAGAAAATCACAGACCCCTTCCTGAAAATGAAACCAGCCTCTTAATGAAACCTGCCTCCCCAGTCCAGGCCTGGCATCTAGACTGAGTTCCCCATACCCAGGGTGGGGTGTCATAGCCAGATTGCCAGTGAAGGCAAATCCATGTGACTCAACTCTCCCCTCCCTAGGCCCTTATCTCCAGAGGCCAGAGCTTCCACCTACCCAGGCAGCCTGGTGATCTGCCCTCACTGCCCCCTCCCCACACCCACCCTACTGGGCCATGAAGGGGATGGGGGCAAACCCAGCTGACTGTTCCACCCTCTGCCCAGGAGGACCATGCGGCAGTAGCAGCCATGCTGCCCTTTCTGCTGGCCACACTGGGCACCACGGCCCTCAACAACAGCAACCCCAAGGACTACTGCTACAGCGCCCGCATCCGCAGCACTGTCCTGCAGGGCCTGCCCTTTGGGGGCGTCCCCACCGTTCTGGCTCTCGACTTCATGTGCTTCCTTGTGAGTGCCTGCTGCCACCCCCTACCTTGGCATCCATGCCCTGTACACACCTGGCAAACACCTCCAGCTCTAACCACTCTGCCACCTGCCCCTGACTTCCCAGGCTTAAGCAGGAGGAGTCCCCATCATCCAGCCCAAGCCTCGACTTTGACCATTCACCCGAGCCAGGGTCATCCCCTTCTAAGACAAGATTTTGGACCCTCTGCTTCTGCCCCCTAGTCCAGCAGGTGGACAGCCTCTGCACTTGCCAACTGCCCCCTCTTCCCTCAGGCACTGCTGTTCTTATTCTCTATCCTCCGGAAGGTGGCCTGGGACTATGGGCGGCTGGCCTTGGTGACAGATGCAGACAGGTAAGGGTCTGGGACCCTCCCTCTAGCTCTCCACACACACACCTTGCTCCACACTCCTTAGGAGTAGGAAGGAGCCAGCCCTCTCTCATTCCCCTTTGCTGGGGGGATGAAAAGGGACTAGCCCCAATGTGGGCATGGGGGCATGAGGGCCCTCAGTTGGGCCCCTGTTCCTCACCTATCCCCAGGGACTCTCCCCCACCTCTGCTAACCCTGTCTGTTCTCTGTCCCCAGGCTTCGGCGGCAGGAGAGGGACCGAGTGGAACAGGAATAGTATGTGGGGCACCAGCCCCCTCATTCCCACTAAACCAGCTTTCCCTTTTCTTCTCTCACGCTTCTCTTCTCTTCCTGCCAAGTTGCTGGTTTCTTTTTGCAGTTTTCTCCTCTGCAGGCTCATGTTTCGGATTAACGCAGGCGGTGTGCTTTGCAGAGCAGGGGGCTCCCCAGCTTGTCTCTGCCTCACCTCCCCTTCATCTCTCCCTCTGGCTCCCTGCCTGGGAGAAGTCCCTCCCTGTGAGAAGTCCCTCTCTGTGTGCCCCTGCCTATGCGGCCCTTGTTGGCTGGAGGGGAGGAGTTGTCCTCCAGGAAATCCTCAGCACAATCACGTAGAGACAAGATTGGGTGTCACCAGCAGCTTCTTGTCACCTAACAGCTAGTTCTTCATATTCCAGGGTTCTCTGCTCACCTCTTCTGGAGGCCTGGGAGGGGGACTGCCCAAGGAGCCCCCCAGACTGGGCTTTTTTGTCACTTTGTCATCTCTGTCTATAGGATTGGAGTTGGAGTTGTAACAGCTGTTGGAGTCAGGGAAGCGGGAGGGTAGGGGAGGGGAGGGAGGGAAGGAGGGAGGGGCAGAGGGAGGGGAGGGGAGGGCCCCACCCAGGAGACCTTCCAGTCTTCCCAGCCCTTCCAGGTTTTCCTGGTCCATCCTTTCCTCCACCTCCTCATTGCTCTTTGCATAATATTGGCTCTGTTGCCTGTCCCCAGCCCCTGCCAGTCAACTCTGGAACTGCAGGGCCCTCTGGCGTTCTCACTTCAGCCTCCTTAGGGAGATGATGAAGATTACCTCCTCCCTCAAGGCCCTACTGCCCAGCATCAGTGCCCACCTCCACTCCCACCCTGAGTCACCCTGAAAGGAAGAGGCATATTTGAGGGAAGCCGGGTAGAGGGCAGTCATTCCTCTCTGCTTCAGCCTCTGCGCTTCCTGTGCCTTCTGTGCCTTCTATAGCCCTGGAGCTCTGGAGCACTCAGCCCAGCTCCCCGGGGACTCAGACTCAACAGGCTGTCTGATCTCTCATCTCCCTTACCCCCAGTGTGGCTTCAGCTATGCACGGGGACAGTCATGACCGGTATGAGCGTCTCACCTCTGTATCCAGCTCCGTTGACTTTGACCAAAGGGACAATGTGAGTGCCCTCCCCAAAACTTCTTAGTCCCCCACCCCACCCCCAGGGCATATGGGCTGAGAAGTCCCTCACTTTCAGTGATGTGTAGTCAGGGATGCTGGTTTGGCCTCCTCCTCAGCAAGGAAAGTGATTCATCCAGGGAACCACAGGATGACCCCCCCAGGCCCAGAACTCCTGGCTCCTTCCTCTATGTCACAGCCTCCAAACTAGCACAGCCCTAACATTCGTGAATTCCCAACTTTGTTTGCCACAAAGAGTTCTGTGCCCACTTCTGCTGATTAATCCTAAGGCCACCTTTTTTCCGTAGTCATGGCTTTAGAAGTAATAATAAGCCCTTGGCTCACACCTGTAATCCCAGCACTTTGGGAGGCCAAGGCAGGAGGATCACGAGGTCAGGAGATCGAGACCATCCTGGCCAACATGGTGAAACCCCGTCTTTACTAAAAATACAAAAAATTAGCCAGGCATGGTGGCTGGCGCCTATAATCCTAGCTACTTGGAAGGCTGAGGCAGGAGAATGGCATGAACTCAGGAGGCGGAGCTTGCAGTGAGCTGAGATCACCCCACTGCACTCCAGCCTGGGCGACAGAGCAAGACTCCGTCTCAAAACAAACAAAAGAAATAATAAGCCCTCCAGCCCTGCCTAGCAAAGCCAACAGAATCCGTCATGTTACTCGGAGGTTGCAGGTGGGTGACCCCTGGCCGTGTGGGCCAGTTGACCTGCTTGTGGATTGGAGCTGAGTGGCAGTGGTCCCTTTCAAAAAGGCATATGAATGGCAGTTCATAACAAACTCCAGACCCCCTTTCATATCAGACCTAACACACAGGTGTTACCTGCCTGGCTCTCCGTCATTAATTCCATGAGGGTGAGGAGCCTAGTCAGAACTCTAATCTTCAGACATGGGGTGGCCCTTGTCAGTCCCTCTTGGGCTGCAAGTCCTAGGGGTGGCAGCTCTTCCAGCAGTCCCAGCAGAAGATGGCCTTCAGCTTCCTGAGTTGGACTCATACTGGTAAGTGGCAAAGTTGTCACACATGCTAGCCAGAGGTATCCAGATGGTCCTCAGACTCAGGTGATGTTGGCAACAGGTAGCATGGTCCTGAATCATGGCTGAAAGGCACCTTTCTACCCCATCCTGTGTTATGTCTGGACTTTCTCCTGGATGGAGTTAGGGGCAGGGTGCCCTCTGCCCAGCCCTCCCCTGAATATCCCCACTCTCTGCCTTTACAGGCCTAGAGGCTGGAACAGGGAGGTCTCTTTTTTTTTTTTTTTTTTTTTTTTCAATTTTTTCCCTGAGATGGAGTCTTGCTCTGTCACCCAGGCTGGAGTGCAGTGGTGTGATCTCGGCTCACTGCAACCTCCACCTCCTGGATTCAAGCAATTCTCCAGCCTCAGCCTCCCAAGTAACTGGGATTACAAGTGCGCATCATCACACCCAGCTAATTTTTGTATTTTTAGTAGAGATGGGGTGTCACCATGTTGGCCAGGCTGATCTTGAACTCCTGACCTCAGGCGATCCGCCCACCTTGGCCTCCCAAAGTGCTGGGATTACAGGTGTGAGCCACCACATCTGGCCGGAGGTGGGGAGATATCTTGTAGCTCACAGTGACCCTGGGCTTTAGTCCTTCCAGGGTAGACTAGAGGGTTAATAGCTGGAATTCAGGCAGCAAGGCCCTCCTCTGTGCTTTTGGCAGCCATGTTGCAAACTCTTATTAGCTGGAGGTCTGGAGGCCCTGCTAACCTTAGAACCCCCAGCCCCACCCATCCCACCCTGGCCTACACAGCCACAGGGTATTTGCAGAAATCTGTAGATCTGGACATGAGGATTCACAGATAACCCTGTTTAGTGTTGGTCTTTTTTCTTTGAGGGCTGAGACCTTCCCTCTCTCCCTTTTTGGGGATAAGCTAGTTCCTAGGATATAAGGATTTTTTTTTTTAGCGAGGGGTGTGGAAGCTGTGCCTGGAGGTAATTGTGAGAATGGGTGGGACTTGAGGGAGAAGAGAGGTTCGGGTTGGTGGGCTGGGGACTCCCGCTGACAGCCCTCTGTTCCCCCAGGGTTTCTGTTCCTGGCTGACAGCCATCTTCAGGATAAAGTAAGTGGACCATCTTCAAGCTCTAAAGAAAGAGAGAAACTTCAGAACCTGGCATCTCCCTACAAAATTGAGAAGCCAGCAGCTTTCAGGGCCTTAGCACTCCTTGCCAGCCCAGCACCCTCCTCCCTGCTCTGGAAGGCCAAGCCCTGGGGACCCGAGCCTCTGCTGTCCCCGGACACTCACTTGACCCCACAATCTCCTCTGTGACCCCCCTGCCTGGGGGGCCCGCTCTGCCCTCTTCTCTCCCTGCCCTGCCCCACGTAGAGAGAAGGGGTGGAGCCCCTGCCTCAGCCTCTGTGCAGCCAGCGGGTGGGGGCAGCAGTAGGCTGGGAGCAGCCAGCCAGCGGCAGGCAGAGCCTATGTCCAGCAGGCAGAACTCAGGAGATCCAGCCAGAGTCCAGCAGGCAGGCAGTGAGCACTGAGAAAGGCAGGAAGCCGGGACAGGTCAGCACTGCCGCCACCCACTCGCCTAAGCCTCCTGCATGGGTACCTCACTTCACTACACCAGGCTCAGCCACACCCATGAGGTGCTGCTGCCCCTCCTCCCATCCTTCCTTCACTTCTGCCTCTTTTACCACTCCTCCTCCTGCTGGTCCTCCTCCTTTCTCCTCTTCCTCCCTCCACAAATATTTCTCTTTTTTCTTCCCTTTTCTCTGCATTCCCATTTTTCTTCTTCCCCTTCCTCTCTCTGCAGTCTCTTTTTTCTTTTACCTCTTTCTTTCCTTCTAGTCCTCTGCCTTCATCCCTCCCCTTCTCCATGCATTTCTCCTTTTTCTCCCTCCCCCTCTCTTCTGCCTTGCTCCCCTCTCCCCTCACAGAAAATAGGGGACCAAGAAGTCCCATTTCAGCCCTGTAGTACTGCCAGATCAGCTGGAGCTAGGGTGGGTTTGGGGTGGGGGTGGGTCAGGGCAGGCAAGTTGCGGCCCCTTTCTTGCCCTGGTCCTAACCTAATTCCTCTGTCCACCCCGTACGGCTGCAGGGATGATGAGATCCGGGACAAATGTGGGGGCGACGCCGTGCACTACCTGTCCTTTCAGCGGCACATCATCGGGCTGCTGGTGGTTGTGGGCGTCCTCTCCGTAGGCATCGTGCTGCCTGTCAACTTCTCAGGGGACCTGCTGGGTCAGTGAGGGCCAGGACGGCTAGGGTGGAGAGAGGATGGGGCTGGAGGGGATGTGCCCTGACCCCACCATCATCCTCTCCCTCTTCTCACCCCCTAGAGAACAATGCCTACAGCTTTGGGAGAACCACCATTGCCAACTTGAAATCAGGGTAAGAGGTGAAGCTGGTCGGCCAGGCCAAGGTCTATGACCAGAGTCTGGGCCATGATGTGGGACAGAGAGGAAAGGCAGCTGCATTGATGGGAGCAAAGGCTACAGGGATGGCTGAGGGTCCCTGAGGGCTTGAGTTGGAGACAGAAGAGGGGGATGCCTGCTGAGGATCCCCCAAGGATGACCAGATACAGAAGAGGAGGGTGAAATCTCAGGAACCAGGGAGGGCCAGCTGGGGCAGTTGGAGACACTGTAACCAGCGGGTAGGGTGTAGAGAGGTGGCCTATCAGGGACATTTTCATTGGAATGGGAGAATCTTGGGGTCTAGGGGATGTGGGATGTGGGCCTGCCTTGTGAGGAGTCAGTGCCAGAAGGCTGGTGGCAGTAGAGGGCCCTGTCTGTATCAAGGGTTTAACACTGACAAGCTGAGGCATCTCATCTGAGTGTGTCCTAGCCCCAGTGGCTCCCATGTATCCTCTCTGCTCCTCCCAGGAACAACCTGCTATGGCTGCACACCTCCTTCGCCTTCCTGTATCTGCTGCTCACCGTCTACAGCATGCGTAGACACACCTCCAAGATGCGCTACAAGGAGGACGATCTGGTGCGTGGAGCAGAGCCCAGGTCCTGCCCCACCCCCAGCCTCTTCCCTTCCCTTCCCTGCAGGCCTCTCTTGTCTCAGCCCCAAGAGGTGTCAGCTGGGTTTGAATGCTGGCACAGCGTCCTGCAAGTTACATAACCTCCCAAGCCACGATTTTCTCATCTGTGAAATGGGATAACAACAGTACCTCCCCCAAGGTTGTGGGGAATACGCGGAAACAGCCATGCTGTGCCCAGCACTTGGGGAAGTAGCTGTGGCTGACATTAGGATAGTAATATTCCTTCCCCTTCTACATGCACTCACCAAGCCAGAACCAGACACCTACTCCATGCCAACCACTGTACTGGGTCCTCGGGGTCTAAGGAGCTGAAAGTAGTACCCCCTTCATCTGCCTCTATAACCCCTCAAGAGCATAGGATGGCGTGGCTCTTTTGTTAGGCTCACTGCCTGATTTCTGTTAGAAACACTCCCCTGCTTTCCCTGGGACCTGGATTATCCATAACCAAGGCCTCCTGTCACCCCATCTGCTCCCCTCTGCTCACCTACTTCTCTACCCTCTCAAAACAAAACACCCTTCTCTAGTGCCGTCCACCCCCCACATCCTCTGGCTCCGCTGGGGTCAGGCCTCAGAAGGCAAACCCACTCCCCTGTCACCCAGGTGAAGCGGACCCTCTTCATCAATGGAATCTCCAAATATGCAGAGTCAGAAAAGATCAAGAAGCATTTTGAGTGAGTAAGCCACACTTCCCCCTAGCCTCAAGCCCTGCTGCAGAGCCTTCTCTGCCTTTGAACTCCAAGAACATCCTTATACCCTAACCTGGAGCTCTGCCATGGGTGGGATAGAGATTAGATCCAGGAAGAAATGTCCGATTCCAGGGTGGTTTAGCACTTGGGCTGAGTGATAGGCCCCTTTAAAACAGGAAAACGAGGACAGAAACTTGAAGAGCGAGTCACTCAAACCCTCTACCCGCAAACCTCCTCCTGGCTCAGACTGGGTCTAGGTCGTTGACCCAGGGTCCACTGGCGTACATACCTTCTTTAAAATTAAAAGCAGCATTCTGGAGTTTGTGTGCAGATGTGACAGGGAGAAGCTCCTTGGTTTCCAGTGGATTCCAAGGAGTCCAGGAGAATTTGAACTGTGTATTCTCTTGAGACTTTTTCAGCTCTGGAATTATGTCTTGGGGTGGGTAGAGCAGACCTCCAGGACTGTCCGGTGGCCAGAAACTAGAGAAAAGGGAGGTGATGTAATGAGGCAAAGTGGGAACTCACCTGGTCACCCCATGGCTAGGGATGCATCTTGGGGCACAGCTCATAGGGTGGGAATGAGAGTGAAGGGCTCCTCCATGGGGGTGTGTAGGGACGGTCTCTATATCACAGGATTAGGGCTCTTCTCACATATGCATCTGTTCACTCAGCAAACTTTCTCAAGTGCTGTTAGTCATAAGTTACCGTAGTGGGCTTTGGGACTGTAAAAAATGAATAAGGCCAGGCATGGTAGCTCATGCCTGTAATCCCAGCACTTTGGGAGACCAAGGTGGGCAGATCACTTGAGCCCAGGAGTTGAAGACCAGCCTGGGCAACATAGTAAGGCCCCGTCTCTACCAAAAAAACAAACTTAGCCAGGTGTGGTGGCATGTACCTATAGTCCCAGCTACTTGGGAGGCTGAGGTGGGAGGATCACTTGAACCCAGGAGGTCGAGGCTGCAGTGAGCCATGTTTGCACCACTGCACTCCAGCCTGGGTGACAGAGCAAGACCGTGTTTCAAATATTTCAAAAAATAAAAAATAGAAGAGGCCAGGCACAGTGGCTCACGCCTGTAATCCCAACACTTTGGGAGGCCAAGATGGGAGGATTACTTGAGGCCAGGAGTTCAAGACCAGCCTGGTCAGCATAGTGATACCCCGTGTCTTAAAAACAATAATAAAAGATCACTGAGGGCCGGGAGTTTGAGACCAGCCTGGCCAATATGGCAAAACCCTGTCTCTACTGAAAATACAAAAATTAGCCGGGCATGGTGGCGTGCATCAGTAGTCCCAGCTACTCGGGAGGCTGAGGCAGAAGAATCGCTTGAACCTGGGAGGCAGAGGTTGCAGTGAGCCGAGATTGTGCCACTGCACTCCAGCCTGGGCGACAGAGCGAGACTCTGTCTCAAAAAAAGAAAAACGATTGAGTTATCAGGGGATTCATCGTATGGTGATCGGCTTTAGGAGCTAATCCAGGGTCTGATCAGAGATTGCTCTGAGGTCAGTCTGTGGTCAGAATCAGGAGCTGGCCAGTGGTCATGATAAGGGACGTTGGTCTGGATCATGGGCCAGACTGAGGTTGAGATTTGGGCTCAGTCTACTGTCAAAATCAGGGTTTAGGCCAGGTGTGGTGGCTCACACCTGTAATCCCCTTGAGAAGATTGCTTGAGCCCGGGAGTTCAAGACCAGCCTAGACAACATGTTGAAACCCCATCTCTACAAAAAAATATAAAAATTAGCCAGACATGGTAGCATGCACCAGTAGTCCCAACTACTCAGGCAACTGAGGTGGGAGGATGTCTTGAGCCCAAGAGGCTGATGCTGTAGTGAACTGCGATTGCGCCACTGTACTGCAGCCTGGGTAATAGGGCAAGACCCTGTCTCAAAAAAGAAAGTAAAGAATCAAGTTTGAATCCAAGGCCCAGATCTGTCAGTTGGCCAGAATCAGAGTTCACTCACTGTCCTGAGTCAGGCCTGTGTGTGATCCAATCAGAGATCGTGTTTGGGCAGGATTGAGAGTGAACATCTATCTGGTCAGGGTCAGATACCAGAGCCTGTGTTAGAAGATTAAGGACTGGTTTGTGATCAGCATTAGTAGATGGATACTCTTTCACACTACATGCAATTATTGACAACCTTCTATGTGCCAGGCACAAATAAATTAGAAACAAGCCCAGTCCTTATACAGGCTATAAAACAGCAGTCAAAATTAGATCATTCTTGTCAGTATGAGAGAACTGTTCGGGGTCCTGTCTGAGGTTCAAGCTGTCATCAGCATTACAGGGCACTCTGGGTCAGGATTAAGGACAGTGTGTACTCAGAATTAAGTGACATCTTTTTTTTTTTTTTCTCATACCATCTTTGGTAAAAATGAATTAGGTGACATCTTAATATTACCATCCAGTTGGAATCAGTTATCAGTTTGTATTGAAATCTGGTGTTGGGTTTTTTTCTTGTTGTTGTTGTTTTGATACAAATATCTAGTGAGCACCTACCATGTGACTGCATGGGGAGGAGCTGGGGGTATAGCAGTAAACAACAGAAGGCCTGCCCTCATTTGCTTACATTTTGGTGGGGAGGGGTGGACAGGGAACAGATGAACTAGTAATAGAGACTGTGTCAAGAAGGGGTAGGTGCTAAGAAAACCACAGCAGGGAAGTGGGCAGGGTAAGAGGGGTTGGGAAGGGTCACTATTTCTGATGGGGTGGATAGGGAGGGACTCTGACAGGGTGGCATTTGAACAGAGACCTGAGTGAACCCTACTAGTCAACCGTCTGTTCATTCAGCCCACATTTATTGTACATCTACTATGTGCTTCATGCCTGGGAGACAGAGTAGAACCAAACCTGATCTGTGCCCTTGGGAAGCTCAAGATCCTAGTTGTGTTTCAGGGGTGGGTCTATAGTTTCGTTTAGGAGAGGTCAGCCTATAAGCAGGGCTAAGGGAGACTGTAGTCCTAATTGGAGTTTTTTGGATCACTGGGATGAGCATGATGGAGTAGCCATCTCATTGATCTGCTCATTTGCCACATGTGTATTGAACACCTACTATATACAAGCTGTTGGGACAGGGCTGGGTATATGGTGAGTAAGAGACAGCCTTTGAGCTCATTGTCAGGATTAGGCAGGGCTTGTGGTCCAAGTCTATGCTCTGTCTGGATTGAAGGACTGTCTCAGCACAATTAGGGACTATCTTGTGTGCAGATCAAGGGGCCTGTGTGGTTGGATTTAGAGGATTAGAGATTAGTCTAGTGAAAATGAGAGTGGACCCTTCCAAAGGGGAAACCTAAAACGGTTTGAGGAACAATATCAGAGGAAAGATCTTTAGCCTCCTGGGAAGTACATTTCAAGGACCCTATCCCAGATTTAAGTTTCTAAATTCTCATGGGTTTATGAGGTCTATGTTAATACTTTAGAACAGTAACTCATGCATTCAATACTTGGTGGTCCTTCATTAAAACAAAAAATTTTTTTGAGACCGAGTCTCACTCTGTCTCCCTGGCTGGAGTGCTGCAATATGGGGGTGTGGTCACAGCTCACTGTAGCCTTGACCGCCTGGGCTGTATCAATCCTCCTGCCTCAGACTGCTGAGTAGCTGGGACTACAGGCACTCACCACCACACCTGGCTCAATTTTTTTTTTCTTTTTTTAGAGATGGGGTCTCACTCTGTTGCCCAGGCTGGTCATGAACTCCTGGCCTCAAGCAGTCCTCCTGTCTCGGCCTCTCGCAGTGTTGGGATTACAGGCATGACCACGGGTTGTTCCATTTGTAAAAAACAATTAAATGTAATATATAATTGGATTTTACATATTGGTAATAAAATATAAAATTGCAATAAATCATAAATGTAATTTGTAATGTAAAATGTAAAATATAAATTGTATAAATAATAAAAATGGGGGACTCTCAGTCTAGATTCACTCAGGATTGGATCAAAGAACAGTGCCTGACAGATTTAAAAACCACATATGCCAGGCACGGTGGCTCCACGTGTAACATATGGGGCCCGAGCGGCCGGGTGAGATCACAAGGTCGGATTCCAGACAACCTTGGCAATGATGGTGAACCCATCTCTACCTAAAACATAAAAATAGCCAGGCATGTGGGCACAATCCTAAACTTCCCAGCTACTGAGGAGGCCCTGGAGACAGGAGGAATACGCTGGAACCCAGGAGGTGGAGCTGCAGTGCGCCACCTTTACAGCGAGAATGCCACCCACTTCTGCATTCCAGCCTTGGGGACGACAGAGCAAGACTCCACTCAAAAAAAAAAATCTATTAAGCTGGGCAGTGGCCTCACTGCTGTAATCAGCACTTTGGAGGCCAAGGCGGGCCGATACCTGAGGTCCAGAGTTTTGAGCCAGCCTGCCAACATGGTGGAAATCCATCTTACTAAAAGATACAAAAAAAAAAAAAAAAAAGATTAGGCTGGGTATAACATGTAGTCCAGCAGTCGGTGAAGGCTGAAGCACGAAATCGCTTGATACCAGGAAGCGAGGTATTGCAGTGGAGCAAGATCACATCACTCATCTTACTGGGGGACAGAGTGGAGACTCTGTCTCAAAAAAAAACACAAAAAAGAAAAGAAAAAAAAAAGAAACTTTCCCCCACCAGCCCATAAGTGGGAGCTCACTTAGTTGTAATGCCAGCACTTTGGGAAGCTGAGGCAGGAGGATCACTTGAACCCAGGAGTTCAAGACCAGCCTGGGCAATACAATGAGACCCCATCTCAAAATATTTCAAACAAACAAACAAACAAATGAACTATTCCTTCACTCAGCAAGCATTCTTCAAGTCCTGCCCAGTACCAGGTACCAGTGAGTCAGTGACAGTTTCTCTCTTAAGTCAAGGTAGGGATGAATCTGGAGTCAGGGTTAGGAGGTCAGTCTTGGGTCTGGGTAACAAGTCTAGGGTCAGTCTTTGGCCAGGGTGGGCTTAAGATTCAGTCTTTGGCCACTGTTAGAGGTCACCCTCACCCTGGTCAGGGGTCAGGATCAATCTCTTGTCTATCTTGGGCCAAAGTTAGAGATCATTTGGTAGACTGGGTTATGGGTTGGTTGAGGTCCATCTGTGGTCAAGGCTAAGTACTGGGCTGTGACCAGGTCTTCTGGGAACAGAGTTAAGGAAGTATATAGCCTATGACTAGATGCAGTTTCTCTCAACCTAAAGGTCACAGCCCTGGACAGGAATCAGACCATAGCCCAGGCTTTCCCAGCTGCATGCAGTGTGTCCCTACACATCCTGGTTCATCAGCCCAGCCTGCACTCACACAGTGCTCAGGCCTTCTGCTCCCACTTCCCCACTCAGATAAGCATGAGGAGGAACTGCAAAGCTTTATTCTTGGGGAACTCTCAGTTTTGTAGACTAAGAAAAAGGCAGCTTGAATTGGAGCTGTGGGGTTTTTTTGTCTTTTTTTTTTTTGGAGACAGTCTTGCTCTGTCGCCCAGGCTGGAGTGCAGTAGTGTGATCTCGGCTCACTGCAACCTTCGCCTCCCGGGTTCAAGCGATTCTCCTGCCTCAGCCTCCTGAGTAGCTGGGACTACAGGCATGTGCCACCACGCCCGGCTAATTTTTGTATTTTTAGTAGAGACAGGGTTTCACCATGTTGGCCAGGCTGGTTTCAAACTCCTGACCTCAGGTGATCCTCCTGCCTCGGCCCCCCAAAGTGCTGGAACTACAGACGTGAGCCGCCACATCCAGCTGGAGATGTGTTTCTTGAAGGTGATGGGGTCTTGGATGAAAGTCAGGGGCAGGTGGGTGGGGTCCCTGCACAAGATGATACATGGACTGTGTTTCAGGGAAGCCTACCCCAACTGCACAGTTCTCGAAGCCCGCCCGTGTTACAACGTGGCTCGCCTCATGTTCCTCGATGCAGAGAGGTAAGGGACTGCGGGCAGGGAAGGGAAACACCAAGGGCCCCCTGCCATTGTGGAGGACATATTGGCTACCACACAGGCTCCCCTGCTAGATTTTTTCCTAGGGCATTTGATTTTAATCCAACTCTTTGGAAGGCCTGTTAATTCAGCTCTGGAAAGAGCAAGGCCTGGAGGTTAGAGTTTGTTGTGAGGGGAAGGGGGCCCATGGTCCTCACTGCATCTGAGGACATGCCCTTCTTTGGCTACAGTATGAGAAATTTAGGTCAGCCTGCAGGAAGAACTTCTGGCCCTCTGGGGATGGGTGGGGAGACCTTAGGGTGTGGCCACATCTGAAGCATGTATCCTAAACAAATTCAAGAACAAGACAGCTCCTGTCCTTGGGGTGTAAGCTAGATGACCCCCAAGCTGAGCCAGCCCCAGCCCCAGATGTAGGTGACCAGACATCTGGGTCCCACAGGAAGAAGGCCGAGCGGGGAAAGCTGTACTTCACAAACCTCCAGAGCAAAGAGAACGTGCCCACCATGATCAACCCCAAGCCCTGCGGCCACCTCTGCTGCTGCGTGGTGCGAGGCTGTGAGCAGGTATGACGCAGGCTGGCTGTTGAGTCTGGGGAGGGGTTGGACTGGTCCTGGGGAGGCAAGGCTGGGGCCCTGCCCTCAGTGAGTCCCCAACTGTCCCTGGAATCCTTGAAGCCTCAGTTCCCACTGTTGGGTTTGTCTGATGTCCCTACAGCGACCAGGTTTTCAAACCTCAAATTAGAAGATGTCAGCCAAAAGGGCGATGTTGTGCTGTACCCACTGACTCTGGGGACTTGAGCAAGTTGCTTACTGCTCAGTGCCTCAGTTTCCTCATGGGGTTAATGTGCCCACTTTATGAGAGTGTTGTGAGGGTAAAGTAAGTAATACATGTAAAAAAGCTTAGAGGTGCTGGGTGCAGTGGCACATGCCTGTAATCCCAGCACTGTGTGAGGCTGAGGTGGGTGGATCACTCGAGCCAGGAGTTGAGACCAGCCTAGGCAACATGGCAAAACCTGATCTCTACAAAAAATACAAAAATTAGCCAGGCATGGTGCTGCACACATGTAGTCCCAGCTACTCGGGAGGCTGAGGTGGGAGGGTCACTTTAGCCTGGGAGGTTGAGGCTCCAGTGAGCTGAGATCCTACCACTACACTCACGCCTGGGCATCAGAGCGAGATCCTGTTTCAAAAACAAAAATGCTTAGTGGAGCAGTGCCTGGCTTGTAGAAAGCCCCAAGTCAGTGTGGGCTGGATGCTACAGGCCCCGGCCTGGCTTTCCAACTGGAGGCCCTGGCCCTAACCCTCCCACAAAGGTGGAGGCCATTGAGTACTACACAAAGCTGGAGCAGAAGCTGAAGGAAGACTACAAGCGGGAGAAGGAGAAGGTGAATGAGAAGCCTCTTGGCATGGCCTTTGTCACCTTCCACAATGAGACCATCACCGCCATGTGAGTCCCCAGCTTGGCCCTCGGCCCTGAGCAGCCCGCCAGGGCTCCCTGACCCCTGTGCTCATGGCCTTCTGCCAGCAGTGTGGCCTCCGGGTGGGCCTGTGGTTACCAGTGCCCATCTTTCTAGCATCCTGAAGGACTTCAACGTGTGTAAATGCCAGGGCTGCACCTGCCGCGGGGAGCCACGCCCCTCATCCTGCAGCGAGTCCCTGCACATCTCCAACTGGACCGTGTCCTACGCCCCCGACCCCCAGAACATCTACTGGTGAGCACACAGGTGGCAGGGCAGGCTTTCCAAGGCCTGGGGGGGGCTCAGTAGGTAGGGGGAGGAGAGGGAGTGTCTTGGTGTCACTGGGGGCCAATCCTGCCCTTGGTCCCTGGAGTGACTGCCCCCCACCTTTCCAGGGAGCACCTCTCCATCCGAGGCTTCATCTGGTGGCTGCGCTGCCTGGTCATCAATGTCGTCCTCTTCATCCTCCTCTTCTTCCTCACCACTCCAGCCATCATCATCACCACCATGGACAAGTTCAACGTCACCAAGCCTGTGGAGTACCTCAACGTGAGGCCCCATGCCCCTTTCACTTTCCACGCTGGGTCACAACACACAGATACCAGGCCCTGATCCCTCTTCCCCCAGCCCAGCCCGTTTGCTTCTTCCAGCCCCCTGCCACCAACGAGCTCCCAAAAACCCCTGTGTGCACTTCCCTTGGGCTCCCTGCCACCTTCCCCCTCAGAGAGGTCACCCTTAGGTTTGCAACACCTGGAGAAACACCCAGGGAAGAGAGAGAGCCTGCATTTAGTCCTGATCTCAGAGAAGTCCCCTTCCCTCACGCCTCAGTCTTTCTAACTGAAAAAATGGAAGGGTTCGACTAGATCAGTGACTTTTAGACTTCGATTCTGATCTCTTTATCAGCGTGAAACCCAATGTGGAAAAGCAGGGCTGCTCCGATGACAGTAGGGTGGCATGCACGTCCGCCTAGCCTCCCCTCACCCCTCCTGCCATGCACAGAGCATACCTCTTTAGAACCTCAGAGTTTGAAGAAGGACAGTTTGCAAATCACAAGCAGTGATAATAGCGTAATAGATAAGACCCAGACTGCATGGATTCAAATCCCTACCTCATGGTTTGCTACCTAGGGAAGCTATTGAATATTTTTTTGCCTCAGTTTACTCATCTGTCAAATGGGGTAACAGCATTATTGTGAGGATGAAAACATGGAAAGTACCTCAACAGTGCTTAGCACATAGTTAGGTGTTCAGCAAATGCTGACTCTCAGTATTATTCACCCTGGGGTTATACATATGGCCCTGGCCCCCACCCTCACCCCAGACCTCCAGATGTTCTGGACTTCCAACATGGGCGCCTTGAGAGTTGTGAGGCCCAGGGCCCAGCTGAGGAGGAGACACATAAGCAAAGCCACTTGGGTCCCCTAGACTGCCCTGCCTGACACACCCTGTGCCCTGCTGCAGAACCCCATCATCACCCAGTTCTTCCCCACCCTGCTGCTGTGGTGCTTCTCGGCCCTGCTTCCCACCATCGTCTACTACTCAGCCTTCTTTGAAGCCCACTGGACACGGTAAGGTGCCTCTACTCACACCACACCTTGCTGTGGCCTGCCCTCAATGACCCGTCCTCACGGGGCAGCACTTTGCCCTCCAGGCTCCTGGCAGTCGCACAGCTGGCAGGGAAGGGGTAGTACCCAGCACCCTCACCTTGGGAGGCCCACTCTTCCCGGGGGACGCTCCTTGGACATTGTCATTGTTGGGGGAGCACGTCTGGGGCCTGGGCTCCCTTGACCTGTACCGTTCCCTGCTCCCCTCCCTCCAGCTCTGGGGAGAACAGGACCACCATGCACAAGTGCTACACTTTCCTCATCTTCATGGTGCTGCTCCTGCCCTCGCTGGGACTGAGCAGGTGAGTTGAGGAGGATGGGAGAGGAGCCAGGGTAGGGGGATTGCAGGACAGGGAGAGGAGAGCAGTTCAGGCTCCCTACCTCCCTTACAAGGCAAGGGGCCCAAGATGGGAAACCTGGCCACCCCCAGGCCTCCTGAGCTACCCACCCCATGTCCAGGAGTCTCCCCAGTGGCTCACAGCGGAGGGACTCCCCCTTCCCTGGTGTTTCTGCACCACTCCAGCCCCCACCCCATCTCTCCTGTGCTTCCCTCCAGCCTGGACCTCTTTTTCCGCTGGCTCTTTGATAAGAAATTCTTGGCGGAGGCAGCTATTCGGTTTGAGTGAGTGACTGGGGCCCCTTGGGAAGGAGACCAGCCGGCAGGGATGGGTATGCTTGAGAGACATTGCCAGTGCCATGGGAGGGTGCAACAAAGCTTCCAACCCCTGGAGGGGGAAGAAGAGAGAGGATCTGGTGGGGTTACCCCACAGGCACCCACAAGGTGTCTCGGGTGTGTATACATGGTAGAAGTCCCTGGGGTCTGTGTTGGTGTTCACTCTCTGTTAACTGTCTGGATGCTAAGATCACCCTCAAGGTAGATTTGGGGCTTGGGGGTCCACATTCTGGTAGTTTCTGTGGGGGTATCTTATACCCATATTCTGGGACTAACATTGGGCATCTCTGGAGTTCCACTTCGGAGGTTTGGGGAGCCATCTCTAGTGAGATCTTGGTCATACTTAGGGAGTGACTTGGAGGCTACCAGGGGTATCCCTGAAGGTCTCTAGAGCCCATATTTTTGGGTATCTGTGGAAGGCTGTTGGCCTTATAACTCTAGGGGTGTCTGTGGCAGGGGTGCTAAAGGACTTACACTTCGGGGTGTTTAGCGGTACAAGTTCTGGGAACATCTCTAACATTTCAGGCTTTTATTCAGAGGGTGCCTATGGAGTTCTGTATGGGCATCTTCTCTGGGAATCCTGTGAGGATATATTAAGGGTCATGCATCATGGCTGTGGGCACAGACTCTAGGGGTTTTGCTCTAGGCCAGCTGTGGTGATCTTTGACTCACACTTGGGGCATCTCAGGCACTGACAAAAGGTTCCTGGGCTCCCCCAGAGATGTCGGGGGAAGGGTCTCAAAGCTTGTTTGTGGAGGTATCTGAGGTTCATGTCACACTCTGGGGGTAACTGGAGTTATGGTCATAGTGGGGGAATCTTCTGGGTGTTCCTGGGGCTCAGCCTTTGGGTTGAGGGTCTCACTGGGTTGTCTTTGGGGATCCTGGACAGTTCTCTCCTGAACGATCTGGTAGCCTTAGGTGGTCTTGAGCACTCTCCATGGCTTTTTATGAGGCACAAGTTCTGGGAGCTGTCTGTTACCACTCTGTCTCTGGGGGGAACGGGCACAGGTGCTTGGGGGACTAAGCTGGGGGTGTCCACATGGAAGAAGCATGTTGGTGGTGGAGGTGTGGGGTGCTGTAGTTCTGGCAGTGGGCGGGCCGCCACCGGGTCACCCCAAGGGTGCAGTGCTGGAGCACCTGGTGCCCGCAGGTGTGTGTTCCTGCCCGACAACGGCGCCTTCTTCGTGAACTACGTCATTGCCTCAGCCTTTATCGGCAACGCCATGGACCTGCTGCGCATCCCAGGCCTGCTCATGTACATGATCCGGCTCTGCCTGGCGCGCTCGGCCGCCGAGAGGCGCAACGTGAAGCGGGTACGGCCGCCTGGGGCAGCAGCGGCCCGCACAGCGCCCCCTGGTGGCCCAACAAGAAACAGCAGCCATCGCGCTAGGGTTGAGGGGCACAGGAGGGCTGAGACTTGGGGAGTCCAGTTGACTCACGGTGGCTCCGGGCCATCCCCTTCCCATATCTGGGGCCTTCGTATTCCACCATGGGTGGACATAGGTAACCCTGAAGGCCCCTGCCGGTTCTGACAGTAGCATTCTATGATGGGAGTTGGGGAGATCTGGGTCCCTAGCACTAGGGTCCCTCTGTCTTAATAAGAGGGCTCTGGGCATCCCACTCCCAAGTCCACCCAACTCTTACCCCCTACCTGCCAGGCCCCGACCCCTTGAAGGCCCCTTTCCATGCCCCATCACTGCAACTACCGTGAGCCTCCTCTCAGCCATAGCCCCTCTCTCCATCTGCTCTGCCCTACCCAACCCTAGACATTAGGTCCTGTTCCCCATGGCTTCTTTTCTGGCCCCAGAGGTCCTGGCTCCCTTCCCCCTCCCTCCTTCCCTGCCCCTCTGGTCAGTCCCTGCCTCCCTGAGCCATCCTCCTGCCCATCTCCCCCCCAGCATCAGGCCTACGAGTTCCAGTTTGGCGCAGCCTACGCCTGGATGATGTGCGTCTTCACGGTGGTCATGACCTACAGTATCACCTGCCCCATCATCGTGCCCTTCGGTAGGCACCGCCGCGCCGGGACCTGGGCCCTGCTCGGGGGGACCCAGGACCTCACCCTCTCCACTCTAGGAAGGCAGGCCACCCCGAGTGGACAGGGCCCGGCTGGGAGACCGGCCCCTCGGGGCTCCCGCCCGGTCCCTGGCTCAGTCTGGGGCCTGGCCTGTGGGGAGGAGGGGGAGAGCCATCAGCTCAGGCCAGACCCAGCTGGCATGTGGTCCCCAGGGCAAAGTCACCCCAACATGGCCATACTCACCCACACCTGTGCCTTCCCTCAGTGGGACGTGCTTGGACACAGATCACATATGTGCTGACATGTTCACACACACTCCCACACAGGCATCCATGTGCACACTTGTACACCATCCTGTAAACTCAGGAAAGACCTGGATTCCAGGGTGGGACAAGTCCTTGCCACTCATGGAGATAGTCTGCTGTATCTGAACTATGTGACTTGGCCAGGTCCCTCCTCCTTTTTGAAGTTTAGCAGTTTCTCTTTAACCATCACCCCCACTGGTAGCCTCTACTTTCCTCCCCAATAACATCCTAACTCCTTAACCAACCCTCCCTGGTTATTGAAGGCTCCAAGTTCCCAAACTAACTTCCTTGTCCTCATTAGAAACTCCCTATCCCTCAACCTGTAGGGAAATAGAACTTGTCCCTTAATTTATACTTACCTGTTTAGGGACAGGGATAGAGAAAAATGATATGGGTTTTAAGAAGATGCTTGTTGATCCCGATGACTAGATTTCCAGTAGTAGAATTCCCAATGAGGAGTGCAGAATGAAGGGGTTGAAGCGGAGGAAGCTGAAGTTCTGTGATCAGGCTGGGGCATGGGGCACTATCCCGTCCTGGGGCCCGGGCAGGAGGAGGGGGTCAACCCTTCGGCCTTCTCAGGACCAGGACAACCTGTGACAGACACACAAAGGTTCGGCGGCACTGGTTCCGAGGTCAGGGCCCATGTGGCTTCCCTTAGGGCTCATGTACATGCTGCTGAAGCACCTGGTAGACAGGTACAATCTCTACTACGCCTACCTGCCGGCCAAGCTGGACAAGAAGATCCACTCGGGGGCTGTGAACCAGGTGGTAGCCGCGCCCATCCTCTGCCTCTTCTGGCTGCTCTTCTTTTCCACCATGCGCACGGGTGAGGGATCCCTACCCAGGGAACGGGGGCGCGAACAGAGGGGATTCCAGCCGGAGTCCAGGCAGAGCAGGCCACAGGAGAAGCCGCATGGCTGGGGGTGGCAGGCAAGGGGCCTGGGAGAGGCTGGGACCAGGCTGTAGCACCTGGGAGAGTGAGGACTGCATTCAGAGGGTATCAGAAGCTGGGGTGGGGAGGCCCTGGGGGTACCCACAGGAGATAGCAACCCCATTCTTTGCCCCCCAACACCAGGGTTCCTAGCTCCCACATCTATGTTCACATTCGTGGTCCTGGTCATCACCATCGTCATCTGTCTCTGCCACGTCTGCTTTGGACACTTCAAATACCTCAGTGCCCACAACTACAAGGTGTGGGGCAAGGGTGGCAGGGGGGATGGCTGCGGGCAGGAGCTCAAGGGGATACAGAGGGTCCCAGGGCTGGCAAGGGCTGAGGGCAGTACCAACAGGGCCAAGCGGGCATGGGGCCATGATCAGGGATGAGGACATGCCCCCACTTCCTGACTCATTCTGGGCTCCTCAAGATTGAGCACACGGAGACAGATACTGTGGACCCCAGAAGCAATGGACGGCCCTCCACTGCTGCTGCTGTCCCCAAATCTGCGGTGAGTGCCCTCAAGAGTTGGGAGGGGCCTCTGACAGACTCAGCCTCAAAGCTCAGTGTTCCCTTAGTCCTGCAGAAAGGGGAACCTGTTCCAGACCCCATGGGGGCAGGGAGAGAGCTGGTCTCCCTGGAGGGCTGCCCCCGCCTCCCAGGGCCCTGCCCACTCTGCTGTCCTACAGGCCCTGGTGTTCCCCCCATCCATGAGGGGTAGCTGTTCACCTTGCCCCTATTTCCTCTCCCCCTTCAGAAATACATCGCTCAGGTGCTGCAGGACTCAGAGGTGGACGGGGATGGGGATGGGGCTCCTGGGAGCTCAGGGGATGAGCCCCCATCGTCCTCATCCCAAGATGAGGAGTTGCTGATGCCGCCCGACGGCCTCACGGACACAGACTTCCAGTCTTGCGAGGACAGCCTCATAGAGAATGAGATTCACCAGTAAGGGGAGGGAGGGGCCCTGGAGGCCACATCCTGCCCCACCCCACCCCTACTCCCACGGACACTAAAACGCTAATAATTTATTAGATCTAAAGCCCCTTTCTCCCCAGCCCCTGCTTTCATTAAGGTATTTAAACCTGGGGATTTCACCGCTCTCCCCCATGATGGAGGGAGGCAGGGAGCCCCCCAACCTCAGTGAGGAGAGCCCCGAGCCGGCCCCGGGGCAAAGAGGGGTGCAGAGGGAGTTCCCCCAGATCAGTACCCCCCACCCCTCCCCAGCTAGTAGCATGACCAGGAAAGAGTTAATGAGAGCCGAGAGGAGTACCTGGTGCGCCTGGTGCTGGTGGCTGGAGACCTGGGGGACAGGTGGATCTGGGGCTGTCCCCCCTGCCCGCCGCCCCGGTTTTTTCCACCCCACAGTTCCTTCTGGGATCCAGCCCTCCAGGGAAGTGGAGCCTCCAGCCCCTAGGGGATGCATGAGAGGGGAGGGGGTGCTGAGTGGGAGGAAGAGTCAGGCTCAGAGCTGGGGTGGCCTGGGGGTGGGGGTGGGCAAGGCTGACACTGGAAAATGGGTTTTTGCACTGTTTTTTTTGTTGTTGTTGTTTTGGGGTTTTTTTGTTTGTTTGTTTTTTTCCTTTAAAATAAAAACAAAGAGAAAAGCTCTGAGGCAGGTGTCTGACTTGAGCTGCCCTGGGTACCTGGACTGGGTCCCCACCCTCCTATCTGGAGGTATCTGTGTGACCATAGGCAAGTTGCATCATACCTCTGGACCTCACTTTCCTTATCTATAAAATGGGAATAGCAATGTCATGGCCTCTAGCTGTTTTAAGGATTAAATAAATAGGAAGTTCTTAGCCCAGTGTTTGGCACATAATAACAAATTATAATTAATATTCTCATAGATGAGGAGATTGAGTCCCAGAAAGGAGAGGTCCCTGCATGACGCTGGGGAAGGGACTTGTTCAGTGTCTCATTTCTGTGTCAGGGAGAGGAGAGAGAGGGGCCGGGGAGAGAATTCAGGGGTATCTCAGAGGCAGGAAGGGCCCCTGTGCCCAGGTGGCCACCACACCAGCCCTGCCCACTCTGATCCTTCCCCTGAGTCCCTGAGCAACACACATGGGGAGAAATTCAGGGAGAAAAGGTCATGCAAAGCCACAGGGTCCATGCTGGGCCAGGATGAAGGCCCATCTGAGCACCTCAAAGTAAGCCTGGTCCCAGCCCATCTCCCTTCCCCAGGAGGGCGTGATCTCCTCAGTGAGAAGCCCCCTCCCATCCTCCAGTCAAATCTTACCCATTCTCCAAGACCCAACTCAAATTCACATTCTCATCAGGCGCGGTGGCTCACACCTATAATCCCAGTACTTTGGGAGGCCAAGGTGAGTGGATCACCTGAGTTCAGGAGTTCGAGACCAGCCTGGCCAACATGATGAAACCCCCATCTCTACAAAAAATACAGAAATTAGCTGGACATGGTGGTACACCCCTGTAATCCCAGCTACTTGGGAGGCTGAGGCATGAGAATCACTTGAACCTGGGAGGTGGAGGCTGCAGTGAGCCGAGATCATGCCACTGCAGTCCAGCCTGGGTGACAGGGCAAGACCCTGTCTCAAACAAACAAAAAAATTCACCTTCTTGAAGAAAGGTCCTGTGACTGCTGTAACCCACGCTGCAAAGGCCCACAGAGCCATGGTCCACACCCACACACATGCATACACGGCATGTACTGTAGGAGGCCTGCATTCCAGTCCCTATTCTGTCACTAAATCACTTTGCAACCCTGAAAAAATAGAAGAAAAAGGAACTCCTAGAGTGAAGAAAAGAGACCTCAGAGGAGGAGGAGAACCAGGTTCCACAAAAGTCAACAAGAAACCAACAGCAGGAACAGCAAACACAGCAACCCTGATAAAGATTGCCCAGGCGCCAGCAAGGAGCAGGAGCAAAGAGTGCCCAAGTTCCAGCCCCAGGCTGCAGAGAGCTGCGGCAAACACAGCTTGGAGGGCCAGTGTTTATGGCAGCCAGCCGTGGGTGGAGGATGGGCCGGTGACAGTGGAGGTGAAAGTTGAGGCCTTGGTCCTGGCCTCAGCCTCCATATGTATGTCAGATCTGCAGTGTTGTGAAACATGAACTCCCAGATAGAGTCCCCAAAGTCTTGGGGCCAAGGGAGTGCCTGCTGGTGGTTGGGCAAAAATTGGCATGGCTTTGAAAGGAGCACTTTGGTTTGTGTGAAGGCTTCCCGGTGCTCCCGAAGCCTGTTTTCTGTATGGATGGGCAGGCACGCCACTGCCATCTGCCTGGCAAGCCCCCTTGTCTGCAAAGCATGACCTGGACAGACCTCAGCCCCCACCTCTGGTTAGCCGAGACCCCCTCATTCCTCATCTGCCCAGCATGCCTTCCCTTTCCTGCACGGCCTGAAGTTCAAAACCAGGTTCCAGCATTTCCAGATGTGAAACTCCAGATAATGCCCAAGCAGCACCCACAGCAAGAGTCCTGAGGATAGCCCTTCCCCAGGGTGGGAGGCTGTAATAGAGAGGAACACCCATGCCTGCCTGCACCGAGCCCCTGGCACCTTGTCACAGAGTTCACGTCCAGGTAGATCACATTAGAGACATCCAGGAGGTGCAATAGTGGAATCAGGAGTGGGCAGGCGAGACCACAGGATCCCCAAAGTCCACTTCCTCCTTTCACAGCTGGGGACAGCAGAAGACACGGATAAGAGCTGAAGTTATGGCCGGGTGCCGTGGCTCATGCCTGTACAGAATCCTAGCGCTTTGAGAGGCTGAAGCTGGTGGATCACCTGAGGTCAGGAGTTCGAGACCAGCCTGCCCAACATGGCGAAACCCCATCTCTACTAAAAATACAAAAGTTAGCCGGGCGTGGTGGTGGCCACCTGTAATCCCAGCTACTTGGGAGGCTGAGGCAGGAGAATCGCTTGAACCCAGGGGGCAGAGGTTGCAGTGAGCCGAGAGTACGCCACTTCACTCCAGCCTGGGCAAAAGAGCAAGACTCCATCTCAAAAAAAAAAAAAGAAAAAAAAAGCTGAAGTTATTGGTTTAAATCCTGGCTCGACCGCTTAACAGCTGTGTGACCCTGGGCAAGTTGTATCATACCTCTGGACCTCACTTTCCTCATCTATAAAATGGGAATAGCAATGTCATGGCCTCTAGCTATTTTAAGGATTAAATACGCAGGAAGTTCTTAGCCCAGTGTTTGGCACATAATAACAAACCATAATTAATATTCTCATAGATGAGGAGATTGAGTCCCAGAAAGGAGAAAGGGGGAGGGTTCACCCGAGGTCAGCTCCTGTATCGGAGCTTGGAACAAGGTTCTCTGATCCCACTGGGTGCTCTCACACTTGTTCTGTGCCTGATAAGTACCAGGCAGGGCTGAGGGGCACTGGGATGACCTGAAAGTCCCTGTCCTCAGCCATCACACACTCCAGAGAAGACTACTACGGAGCAGAGTCTTAGCTCAAAGCATTCCCCGTTTCCGGTGCAGAGGTGGGACATGTGGTCAGACCAGTGGCCTAACCATGCCAGACTGGGGCCAGGCAAGGAGAGTGTTGTAGGTGGAATCATGTCCCCCAAAAAGGCATGTTGAAGTCCTGGCCCCCAGTACTTCAGAATGTGACCTCATGTGGAAACAGGGTGGTTGCAGATATAATTCGTTCAATTAAGATGAGGTCATACTGAAATGCATGGGACCCTGCCCCCATATGACTGGTGTCCTTAGAAGAAGAAGAGACACAGAGGAGGGTGCCATGTGAAGACAGCAACACAGGAAAAATGCCATGTCAGTGAGAAAGGGGGTTTTGGGAATGAGAAGCCTTTCTGGATGTAAAGGTCAGGTTGGTGTGGTGTCAGGGACAACCCCTCCTGGAAACCTGGGGCTGAAAGAAAGGGACTGGGACCTACCCTGATGGGATGACCATGATACAGTGAGGACAGCCAGGCTGGTGGAGTCTGCATGAGGCGGGGGTGCTGGGTCATCTGTCCCTAAAGCGGCTATCCCTCAGCTGGGTAAGGGGCTGGGTTACTGAGAAGGAGAAAAGGGAAGGCAGCTGTTAAACGGGCTGCTGACCTAGGAATCCCACTGCAGTGAGAGAGTTCTAGGGGGAGGGCCTCTTTTCCCCCTCCCACCAGAACCTTCAACTGTCAAGCACCGAGCTAGCCACCAGCATGCTGTCCTCCCCAGGTAGGCACTCATGGGGCCTTACCCCACTCCTGTACCTCCTGCAGGCTAGTCTCCCCCCAGGGAAGGAGTTGTGTCTCCCATCAGACTGGGTGCCCCTTTAGGGTACAGACAGTGACTCTTCCATCAGACTGGATGCTCCCTAAGGACAGGACCTGGGCCTCTTCCTCAGACTGTTTGGGGAAGGATAGGCCACTGGTGGTCAGACTGGGTGGTAGGCCGGGCAGGAGCTCTTTCTCCTCTCCACTGACAGTTGGAGTTGGGGAGAGGAGAGGGACTGGCCGTCCCGCTGTCATGGCTGCTGCGGAAAAGGGTTTGTGTGAAAAAGCCCAAGTAGGGAAGAAAACTTTAGGGAACAGGGAGAACCTCTCCTAAGCCTAGAAAAGCAGGTCCCTCAGCCCAGGAAGATGAGATCCTCAGGGTGGCAGGGGCAGGACTACCTGAGGCAAGCCTGGGACCAGACTCCAGGAGATGGGGAAGAGTGAGCTGAGGGGAAGCGGGTGGCTGGGCAGAACTGAGTTGTTCCTATGGGGCTGGGGTGCACAGAGGGCAGCCAGCCTTGGCCAGCAGAAGGTCAGCCCTGTACCTCACCCTCAGCCTAGGGCACCGTGAGACCATAGGCCCCTAGACCCAGCCTCCCAGCTTCTCAGGCCCTCCCTGTTTACCTGACCCTAGGAAGTTTAGGCCTAGCAGGTGACCCCAAACCCAGTCCTTGTTCTTCAGAAGTGCCCTGAGCTTAAGCCCAGGAGTTCAAGACCAGCCTGGTCAGCATAGCAATACCTCATCTCAAAATATAATTAATTAATTAATTTTTTTTTTTAAAGTTCACTGAGACAACATCTTAGTTTTTTCCCAGCACCGGAAATCAAACTGTCCTTAAATCTACAGTCCCCTAATAACAATGTATTGCACTTAGAAAATCACTGAGAGAGGCCAGGCACAGTGGTTCACACCTGTAATCCTGGCACTTTGGGAGGCCAAGGCAGGTGGATCATCTGAGGTCAGGAGTTCAAGACCAGCCTGGTCCACATGGTGAAACCCTGTCTCTATTAAAATACAAAAATTAGCCGGGTGTGGTGGTGGGCGCCTATAATCCCAGCTACTCAGGAGGCTGAGACAGGAGAATCTCTTGAACCCGGTAAGTGGAGGTTGCAATGAGCCAAGATCGTGCCACTACATCCCAGCCTGGGTGACAGAGTGAGACTCCATCTCAAATCAAAAAAAGAAAATCACTGACAGTAGATTGTAAGTGTTCTCACCACAAACAAATAACAAGTGTGTGCAGTAATCCTGATATTAATTAGCTCAACTGAGCCATTCCACAATGAATAAATATTTTAAAACACCATGTCGTACACAACAGATATATACTTTTTTGGTCAGTAAAATAAAATAGATTTAGTTAAAACCGATCTACAGGTTCTCAGTCTGATGGAGGAGATAGGACGTGCAGCTGCAGCAGAAAGCTTCCTGTC